CCTATCATTTATCTATATTGATTAGCTGTACTTTTCTAAAACTATATACTTTTCTATATTGATTAGCTATACTTTTCTATATTGATTAGCTATACTTTTCTAAAAGAAGAGCTTTCCCTCACCACCTGAGCCACTCTGTTACCTGGAAGCAGATTTCTATGGCAGAGCAGCATGGTGCTAATTTTTCCTCTTTAAATATTTTGGAGTAAGAACCTGATGTGATTGCCAACTCCAGTGGCGACAGAAGGATGGTGTTTTTTCTTTTCTATTTTCTTCTTAAACAAAGAGAAGAACTTGTAAACAAAATAGGTTTTCATTTTTTATAGCTTACTGGTGAATTGGAACTTTCATGATTATGTAGTGACTCTCTTTATCCTAAAGACAATTTTGTCTTTTTCTTCTAAATCCTTATTTAGAGAAATATTATATAGCTACGCCAGCTTAAATTTGATTAAATGCTTGCTCTCTGTATCTTTCTCCACCTTTTCAGTTTTAATGGTTCTGTAACCTGGTGTTTTATGTATGTCTGTTAAAAATAACATATATCCTGATCTTACATTTTTATCCGATTTGCCTGTCTCTGTATATTATCTGGTGAGTTTCACATTTATTGTGATTATTAGTACTTTTCACCATCCTACTTTGGATATTCTGTTTGTTCTATTTTTCTGTGTTTTCCCTCCTCAACACTCCTTCTTCCTTCTTCCCTCCTTTCTCTTTTGTGCTTGATGTTTTTCTTTTTTTTATTAATAGATTGCTACTTTCAATTGTTTTGGAAGTGACACACTTTTATTTCCATTCTTTTGGTGATTACCCTTTAACCCTCTAGAACATACTACATTTTAAGTAGCATAACATTAATATTTAACCTTCCTCTTGAACAATTTAAGAACTTTAGAATATTTTAACTTCAACTATCCCCTTTAATTCACATGCTGCTTGCTGTTGTTACTTCATGTTTCAGATAGGGTTTTAAAAATTAACCCACGATGGAGCCTTCTTGGTCAAATTGCAACTAGGTAGTATTATATTTATGTACAGGATTTGTTTTTTCTTTGCCAATGTATTTTCCTGCTCATAGCCAACCAATAAATTCTATATCTGTTTCAAAAAAAATTAACCCACAAAATAGATATTATTGTTATTTTAATAATATGTACACATGCCTGTAATCCCAGCACTTTGAGAGGCTGAGGCAGGCTGATCATCTGAGGTCAGGAGTTCGAGACCAGTCTGGCCAACATGTCCAGATAATTTTTGTATTTTTAGTAGAAACCCCACTCTACTAAAAATACAAAAATTAGCAGGTGGGGTGGCACATGCCTATAATACCAGCTACTTGGGAGGCTGAGGCAGGAGAAACGCTTGAACCTGGGAGGTGGAGGTAGCAGTGAGCCGAGATCCTGCAACTGCATTCCAGTTTGGGTGACAGAGCAAGACACGGTCTTAATAATAATAGTAATAATAATAATAATAATAATAATACATAGAGTGTGTGTAGACTTATCTACATTTTCACAATTGCCTCACTATTCCTTCTTGCTTCTTGGTTCTTCCGTTTAGGATCATTTTCCTTCTTCCTAAAGTAAATGCTTTATATATTCTTTTAGAGAAGGTTTGTTGATGGTAAAGTCTGTTTTTGTTTTCTCGAAAATGCCTTTATTCTTGAAAGATAGTTTTGTAGGGTTCACAATCCTTAACTGACTATTATCTCTTGGTATACTGAAGATACACTTCCACTGACCTCCAGCTCCGTTTTGCTATGGGAAAGCCTGTTGTCAGTCTAATTGTGATAGCTTTGTGGTACTGTGGGTGGTCTGGGTTTTCTCTCTGCTGCTATAAGGAGTTTCTTTTTGTCTTGGCGTTTTCCCACCTTGGTTGTATGGGTGTACACTGTGGTGGTGTATATTCTGTGGATTCACACATTTCATCAGTTCTGGAACGTCCTCAGCTCTTATCTCTTTGGATATTGTCTCTCTCATTGTCTTGATTCTCTCTTTCTGGGACTCTGGATGTGTTAGAGTTTACCATTCTAGGCTTCATTGCTCCTGGCCTTGTTTTCGTATTTTTAATCTCCTTATCTCTATCTGCTGTGAAACTTAGTAACTTCTTCAATTTCTCTTCCAGTTCATTTATTCTCTCTTAATTTGTGTTTCAAATGCTGTTTACCCCATCCACTGAGTTTCTCTTTTCTTTTTTTATGAGATGGAGTCTTGTTCTGTCACCAAGCCGGAGTGCAGTAGTGCGATCTCGGCTCACTGCAACCGCTGCCTCCTGGGTTCAAGTGATTCTCTTGCCTCAGCCTCCCAAATGGCTGGGATTACGGATGCATGCCACCACACCCAGCTAATTTTTATATTTTTAGTAGACATGGGGTTTCACCATTTGGCCAGAATGGTCTCGATCCCTTGACCTTGTGATCTGCCTGCCTCAGCCTCCCAAAGTGCTGGGATTACAGGTGTGAGCCACCATGTCTGGCCAGTTTTTCATAATTATAATTATAATTTTCACTTCTAAAAGCTATATTTGTTTTTTTTCAAATCTGCCTGTTATTTCTGCTTGATTATTAAGATACCCATTTTTAACAGCAAATAAGTGTTGGGGAGGATGTGGGAAATAGTAACTCCTGTGAACTGTTGATGGGAATGTAAAATGGTGCAGTCTCTATGGAAAGCAATATATCAGTTCCTCAAAAAATTAAAAATAGAATTACCATATGATCCAGCAACTCCACTTCTGGGAATATACCCAAAAGAATTGAAAGTAGGGCCTCAAAGAGATACTTGTACACCCATGTTCATAGCACCACTATTCACAATAGCCAAAAGACAGAAGAAACCTGACTGTTTACCAGTAGATGAATGGGTAAACAAAATGTGGTGTGAACTACAGAATATTATTCAGACTTAACAAGGGAGGAAATTCTGACACATGCTACAACAGGAATGAAACTTGAAGACACGATGCTAAGTGAAATAAAACAAGTACAAAAAAAGAAATACTGCATGACTTCGCTTAAATGAGGTCCCCAGAGTAATCCAAATCATAGAGACCGACAGCACAATGTCAGTGATTGGGGGGAGGGAGAAATGGAGAGCTGTGTTTAATGGGTGCTGAGTTTCTGTTCTGGAAAGGGATGGTGGTGATGACTGCACAGCAGTGTGAATGCACATAACACCACTGAACTAAACACTTAAAAATGGTTAAGATGAGCTGGGCATAGTGGCTCATACCTGTAATCCCAGCACTTTGGGAGGCTGATGAGGGTGGATCATGAGGTCAGGAGTTCAAGACCAGCCTGGCCAACAATGGTGAAACCTCGTCTCTACTAAAAATACTAAAACTAGCGGGGTGTGGTGGCGGCACCTGTAATTCCAGATACTCAGGAGGCTGAGGCAGGAGAATTGCTTGAACCTGGGAGGCGGAGTTGGCAGTGAGCCAAGATTGCACCACTGTACTCCAGCCTGGTGAGAGAGTGAAAGGCTGTCTCAGAAAAAAAAAAAAAAAAAGGCTAAGATGGTAACTTGTGTTATGTGCATTTGATCACAAGTATAATTTTAAAATGTACTACTAGTATTCTTTTTTAATTTAAATATTTTATAAATTATCCTATTGGAGGCCTGATAGTGTGGTAGTTTACAGTGTGAACTCTGTATTCTAAGTGCTCATGTTCAACTTACCAGTCTGTAACCTCAGGCAAGGAGCTTAACCTCATTGTGCCTTAGTTTTTTAAATCCATAAACAGAGGATAAGAATAATACCTATCTAATAGATTTCTGTGAGTATTAAATGAATCAGTACATGACAAAGCACTTACAATAGTGTCTGGCACATATAAATACTCTGAAAATATTTGTTATTATTTTAAGTATCTAATATTCTGACACCTAAAGTCTTTGGTGTAGTTGTTTTTTATGCCACCCACTTACGGTGTTTTTTATTTTTCAACATCTCTGATCTTTGAGCTCATATTGGGAGGATCTTTGGGAATCCTGAGGCTCTAAACTTGGGTTATTTTCCTCCAGACCATCTGCCACCTGAGACCACATTTGCTCCCTTCAGCATCTCTGCTTCATGTAGGAGCCCTGGTTCATCTCCTTTGTCCGCTGCATGTCCAGGTTTAGCTCTGATGGCAGCCTTTATATAGGTCTCGACCTGAGATTTGAGTGTATTGCTCCCAGATTGTCACCTTTGTTTCCACTTACGGTTCTGATGGTTTTGTTTTGCTTTGTTTTCTGCGTTTCTATTTTCTTCTATTTGTTATTGGCATTTGAGGAATTCTGTTGTTTTCTAAGAACCTAGTACAGTATGAACAAGTATATTTCATCTAGGATCTGACTTAACTATAGCAAGAGTGTCTCAGAAAACCCAAGCTTTCATACAGCTGCCAAACAAGTTCGAGACCAGCCTGGCCAACATGGTGAAACTCTGTCTCTACCAAAAATACAAAAAGTTGGCTGGGCATGGGGCTTAATTCTTTGACCATTTTGAGTGTAGGGGCTTATTCATGCCTATATCCTCACAACCCAGCTTGGGGTCTGCCTCATACTTAGGAGCTGATACTTTTTTTATTTGAATGGGTGAAAGAAGCCACACTGAGGGCTCTCCACCTGGAAGAAGTTGGGACACAGGCACAACATTTCTTTCCAGCCACATGGGGATCCCTGATCAAATGTCACCCTTGACTGCCTAATTCATCTCCTTCCAAAGTCATAGGTTATCCCTGGCTCCCGGCTGATTATCACAGGCAGGGAGGGAGGGAAAGAGGCAAAGGGAGAAGGCCCCGTGTGGGAGTGAAACCTGCTCACCCTGGCTTCTCCAATCTGCAGCTCACTCTTGCTATCACTCAGTAGGTCTGATCTCCATAACTCTTTTGTTCCCTGCCTCTACTCTGAGACACAATTGCTTTCCTGGGACTTTTTTTCTCCCCGAGCTAAAGAATGAAGGTTCAATGGTCCCAGCTCTGTTCTTATCAAGCATTCCAGCTAGCCTATGCCAGAGATGTCACACAGCTCTTGAATAAAAGTGGCCATGGTTGTAAGAACAATAACAACAGTAGGTAACAGCAGTCACAACAACAGCAGGGCGATGCGTTTTTTATTACAACTGGTTTCTTGTTCCAGTCGGCTTGGGGATGGGTGGAGGAGGACAGGGCTGGCACAAACCCTTTCCTCCTCCTCTCCAGCCCACAGTGATCTGGGCTCTAATAAGACAGCTTGCTTCCATTCAGTAAGTAGTGTGGGAAAGTTCCTTCTCAGCAATACCCCTGAGACCTTGGCCCGCGGGCTGGTTTGTTCAGTGGGCTGCGTCTCTCCCTGGGATGCTGGGAGCACCAAGAGTGGCTGAGCTAGGCTGCTGACTTCCTCCGGGTGCCTCTGGGTTGCGGGGATCTCTTCCTCAAAGGAATTGAGGCCCTTTGTCGCTCCAAGAAATGCTGAAGCTGTGGGCAGAGGGGTGTACCCAAGGGAGCTCTTGCTCTGTGTCTGACTTTGGAGGATCTCCAGGTGGGCAGGGCAGGAAGGAAGCGGCTCCCAGCACTGCTGAGGGGCAGCAGCATTACAGCTCAGCCTAGAATAAGAGAGACTGATGAAGAGAAAGTCAGATTATTTGAAATTGGACGAAGTGGTGACATGTGCAAAATGAGTCTTCCTTTTCTGAAGCACTTTGCTTCTCTCCCTACCCTACAGAGGGCCAGGAGGTCTCATGAGCCTTTCCACTCTCTTCCTTATAGAATCTTCTCTCTAGAAAGGATCTGATAGTCTCATTCTGTCAGAAAAGAGAAAGAAAGGCTTGGTGTGTTCTATTCCCTAAGGTATTTGCATTTAACAGAAATCTCTGACCTAAGGAATTTCAGCCTTAGTTGTGGAATCTCAGATTGTCCCTTGCTTGGAGGGAAAGTTATTTGGGATGTAAAGCGTTGTCAGAGCCATTTAAATCAAACCTAAGGATAGACTGGTACTCCCTGGGTAGAGGACGGGAGGGAAGGGCAGTGGGCGGGACAAAGGTGCCTCACCTTCCGGACATTGTAGATCCAGTTGAGATAGCCTGAGACCTTGGTGTACACTCCTGGAGTGCTCGGGCCCCCACAGCCGTAGCCCCAGCTACTGATGCCCACCACCTGCCACTGGTCAGACTGGTACATCAGGGGGCCACCACTGTCACCCTGTGGGAGACCAGAACAGAGACTGTTGGGGAGGGCAGGTGAGGTGGGGAGCTTCTCCCTCCCAGCTCCCTGAACTGGCCCATCTGTTCCCCTGCACTCCCTGCTGCTCTCTGATGTCCCTTCTTCACCCTCTTTGCTCATTAGCACCCTGGAATGCTCTTCTCTTCTGGGGCAGAAGGGCCTGTCTATGGGCAAGGAAGTTGCAAGTACGCTCTTTGCCTTCTCTCAGAGATTCACAACTCACATTGGCAAATCAAAGGCTCTGAGTGATACCGTAAAAAAGCCTGGTTATTGGCTGGGCTTGGTGGCTCATTCCTGTAATCCCAACACTTTGGGAAGCCGAGGTGGGCAGATCACCTGAGGTCAGGAGTTTGAGACCAGCCTGGCCAACATGGTGAAACCCTGTCTCTACTAAAAATACAAAAATTAGCTGGGTGTGGTAGGGGATGCCTGTAATCCCAGCTACTCAGGAGGCTGAGGTCGGAGAATTGCTTACAGAGTGCCTATATTGCACCAGGCACTGTTCTAAGCAATTGGGATCCAATTGTTGAAAAAAACAAAGATCTCTGCCCTCCGAAAGCTTAGGATCAAATGGGGGGGGGGGGGGGAAGACAGTAAACAAGCAAATAACAAAAAAGAAAATGCCAGATAGTGAAAAGTGCACTTACCTGGGAGTCCTTAACAGCTGTTTTAGCCCCGAGACTTCCTCTCTCTGAACCCAAAGCTATAGCCAAAATGCCTGTTTAATGACCTCCTTTCCCCCCAACCACTGTGAGCTCCCTGAGGGGTCTTCAAAGACTACCATGTCGCCAGGCTCAGTGGCTCACACCTGTAGTCCCAGCACTTTGGGAGACCGAAGTGGATGGATCATGAGACCAAGAGATCGAGACCATTTTGGCCAACATAGTGAAACCCGATCTCTACCAAAAATACAAAAATTAGCTGGGCATGGTGGCATGTGCCTGTGATCCCAGCTCTTTCAGAGGCTGAGGCAGGAGAATCGCTTGAAGTCAGGAGGAGGAAGTTGCAGCGAACTGGGATTGTACCACTGCACTCCAGCCTGGCAACAGAGCAAAACTCTGACTCAAAAAAAAAAAAAAAAAAAGACGACTGTGTTCATGGCACACAAGTGACAACTAAGAGATCCCTCTTAAATGAAGGAATTCAACGACTGGAAATGGAGGTGAGAGTAGGGCAGGGGTTTGAATGAAAATGGTTCAGGCCAAGTATGATGGCTCATGCCTGTAAACCCAGCACTTTGGAAGGCTGAGGTGGGAGAATCTTTTGAACTTAGGAGTTTGAAACCAGGTTGGGAAACATAGTGACCCTGTCTCTATTAAAAAAAAAAAAAAAGAGAGAGAAAGAGAAAATAAAAGAAGAAAATGGTTTGGAGGATCCTCTGCAAGTATGGGGCAGGAAGACGGTCTGCTAAGCTGTCCTGATGGTCCACAAGGCCTGGGTGAGGGGCACGCCCGGGGGCTCTTCCAGCATCCCGCAGGAGGTAGTTCTTCCCTATTGTGGCTCAGCAGCTTGGGGAAAATCACAGAGAAAATGGACCTGGGATTCCTGACCTGGGGGCCTCCTCATTCTGTAGCTAGTGAGAAGGGTGGGTGGGGAGGATGAGTAGTGTCATCTTCATTGTTGTTTTGAGATGGAGTCTTGCTAGGTCACTCGGGCTGGAGTGCAGTGGCACGATCTCGGCTCACTGCAACCACTGCCTCCCTGGTTCAAGCAATTCTCCTGCCTCAGCCTCCCAAGTAGCTGAGATTACAGACGTGCCACCACACCTGGCTAATTTTTGCTTTTTTTTTTTTGGTAGAGATGGAGTTTCATCATGTTGGCAGGCTGGTCTTCAATTCCTGACCTCAAGTGATCTGCCTCAGCCTCCCAAAGTGCTGGAACTACAAGCGTGAGTTACCACACCTAGCCAGTAATGTCATCTTTGAATGTGAAAGAGACATTTGAAATCTCTCTGTTTGTCTCCATCCATCCATCCATCCATCCATCCACCCACCTACCCACCCATCTATTCATATATCTTTATCTGACTGTATCCTTTCCTTTCTTCCTTCTCTCTCTTCCTCCCATCTTCACATACTGAGTGCCCATCATATGCAAGGCTTCCAGTGGGGTATGCAGCCTCTCTGTTTTCTCATCTCTCTAGGGCTTACATCCTATTCTTAGAACTCCCCATGATCCTTGGAGGCCCCACCTGGCAGGTGTCCACACCCCCTTCTGGGATGCCTGCACACATCATCTTCTCGGTGACTTCCCCCTGGTACGCATCGTCTGCATTGCACCGTGTACTGTCAATGACCTGGACTGATGCCTGCAGCAGTATGTCAGACAGCTTCCCTGGGAGGGTGAAAACACATTCCCGTGCTTGCCTTCTATCCCCCAGCCCTGGATAGCCAAACCACTTTGCTTTCTGCCTGGTGCCTTGGTGCTTGGTCCTCTGGGATGGGTTTCTCTGAAGGGTGGTCCTTCTTCCCACAACTTCTGGAAGGTGCTCCCTCATACAAGGGCATCTCCTGCCTTGTGGTCCTGAGCCCAGTACGTACCTTCATTCTGCTTTGTAAAGCCCCATCCAATGACCCAGAGTGGGGTGGCTGGAGTGAGTTCCTCATCAAAGAAGGGCAAGCAGATGGGCCTGACTGTACCTGCCAGGAGCACAGAGGAAGAAGGAGATCTTTTATTCATAATTTTTAATTTTCTATAAATTATGATGCTTTGTGATAATAGGTATCTTGCTGGTCTGGGGTAGACTGGGTCAGCTAATTCCTGCAGACAGTAAACAACTTGCCTGTGGGCATGCCTTTAATGCATAGAGCAGCCAACCCAAAGCCCATATGCCCAACCACTTCCTTTACCTGACTCTCAGACACCAAGCCAATATATTCCCTGCCCTAAATCACCCCAGGGACAGATACCAGACAACCAGAGGCCGACCTCTATAACCTAGAGAGTTGTTCACACTGTCCAATCCCAAGCGTGCTCAATCTTGCCTAACCTATCTTGGCCAGACCTGCCCATGGATGCCACGGGTGACTCTGGGCCATCCCTTCCCCTCGCTCCTGCCTCCTGGAGGACCTGGCTGCTTTCCCAGGTGTCCCTGTGTGGGGAGATATGTCCTTTTCTCTCAGGTACTATAAGTAATAAACTCCTCTTTCTTTTTCTTTTTCTTTTTTTTAAAGATGAGGTCTCGCTATGTTGCCCAGGCTGGAGTGCAGTGGCTGTTCACAGACACGATCCCACTACTGATCAGCATAGGAGTTTTGACCTGCTCCGTTTCCAACCTGGGCTGGTTCACCCCTTCTTAGGCAACCTGGTGGTCCCCCGCTCCCCAGAGGTCACCATATTGATGCTGAACTTAGTGTGGACACCCAGTCAGCATAGCGCACTACAGCCCAGAACTCCTGGGCTCAAGCGATCCTCCCACCTCAGCATCCCGAGTAGCTGGGACTACAGGCATGTGCCACTGTGCCCGGCTAAACTCTTCTTTCAAAGATAGTTGTGTCTGTATCTGTCACCTCACCATACCTGGTTAAAACAATTCCCAGGTACAAATCTTGAAGCAAGCCCGGGATTCAGGAGAGCCTGGCAGTTCAGCCCTCTGAAAGGGGCCACACCAGGGTCTCCAAAACTCTTGGTCTATGGAATGCTAGTAGAAATGGCATGAAAAAAGGATTCTGTGGTCAAATCAATTTAGAAAATGTAGGTTAAATGCAATAAAACTGATTATTTTAAAAACTTCTCATACCTTTAATAAACAAATGTGCTCCAAGAAGGGAGCTGTAGTATAAAACTGTTTTCCAAACTTATTTGACAATGGAATCCTCTCTTCTCCAAGGGGCCAGTGCCTTGGGAACCCCACAGTTGGGAATGCTGATCTAAATACTTTTCGATATAAGCTCAAGGCCTCCCACAGAGCTATTCAAAGGCTCTGCGGCTGCCTCACGAGTAATGGGTGCCCTACCCCTGGAGGAGAGCAAACAGGGGCACAATGACTCTTGGCAGGGATACTGGGCAGGCTCTTGGGTATTGGTCAGGGGTGGGGAATGAGCTTGATAATCTTTTCAAAAGGTCTCCAGGGCCAGGCGCGGTGGCTCACGCCTGTAATCCCAGCATTTGGGAGGCCGAGGCAGGTGGATCACGAGGTCAAGAGATCGAGACCATCTTGGTCAACATGGTGAAACCCTGTCTCTACTAAAAATACGAAAACTTAGCTGGGCATGGTGGCGTGTGCCTGTAATTCCGGCTACTCAGGAGGCTGAGGCAGGAGAATTGCTTGAACCCAGGAGGCGGAGGTTGCGGTGAGCCGAGATCACGCCATTGCACTCCAGCCTGGGTAACAAGAATGAAACTCCGTCTCAAAAAAAAAAAAAACAAAAAAAAACTGCTCACTCGAGGGGCTCCACAGAGAAGACAGGCTTTGGAAGACTCTCCAGACATGGAGCAGAGGTGTTAGCTCACAGCTTGAGGGGGCCTCATGGCATCAGTGACATTAAGCTGATGTATTAGTTAGAGACAAATGGGCAAGCTGAGGTCTTGAGAGGAGAAATTATGTGCCAAGGCTACTCAGTGAGCTAATAGCAGAGTGGGCGTGAAAACTGGGTGGCCTTGGGCCCTGCTTCTCACCTGAGAAAGTGAGTGGGAACTGCAGCTTTATGAGGGCAATGTCATTGTCTTTGGGGTACATGGGGTTGAGTTCAATGATGATGATCTTGGCCACAGCCAGGGATGGGAAGTTGCCCAGTTTGTCTGAGCCGGCCCGCACCTTCCAGTTGAACACATCGGTATGTTTCCTGGGGGCAGAGATAGCTGGGTTCAGGCCTGATGCAGGTCTGAGGAGGCTTTGCCAAAGGCTGGGTCCCCAGGGCCCTGGGGACCAGGGTGCTAGGTGTCACTGCCTTGGGAGGGAAAGATGATGGTGGAGAAGGAGCGGTCTTTTGGCACTTATAAGAAGACAGATTCAAAAAGGGGATTTGACCTTTTTTCTCAGTGAAACCTGCTTGAGGACACTTCAAGGATGGCTGAGGAAGGGGCTCTTCCAATGCCTGAGCAGGGCCATGGTCAATGTCAGTTACTCACGGGGTCCTGGCTCTCTCTCCACCAGCCTTTCCCATCGTTACCCGTGCTGTTAGCTATGTTACATGCTTGTCTCTCTTTTTCCCAATGCCAGGCATGGCTTAGTGTGCAGGGATGATTTTCCAGCAAAGAATTTATAGCTCTCGCCAGAATCTCAAAAAAAAAAAAAAAAAGTTAAGAAATGCTAACCTAGACTGCCTTGAAGACAGCGATGGAGTCTAATGCACTTGGGTGCATCCCCTGATGCTTTGTTCCTGGTAGGTGCTCATGAGATGTTGAGTGAATGATTGAATAAAAGTGAAGGGGGGCTGGAGGCAGTGGCTCAGAGCTGTAATCTCAGCATTTTGGGAGGCTGAGGTGGGCAGATCACTTGAGGTCAGGAGTTCGAGATCAGCCTGGCCAACATGGTGAAACACTGTCTCTATGAAAAATACCAAAATTAGCTGGGTGTGGTGGCACATGCTCTTAGTCCCAGCTACCTGGGAGGCTGAGGCAGCAGAATTGCTTGAACACGGGAGGCGGAGGTTGCAGTGATTCAAGATGTTGCCACTGCACTCCAGCCTGGGCGACAGAGCAAGACTCTCTCTCTAAAAAAAAACAACAAAAAACAGAAGGGAGTGGCCCTTCCCAGAGGTATGGCCAGGCCTCTCTGTGGACTGAAAAGGAATCTATGCTTTTAAATTTTTTAAAAGTTTCTGGCACTAATGAGGAAGTGACAGTCACTCTAGGCCCTGGAACAACTTCCTGGGAACAAGCAAAAGAACAGTGAGTTCTTGGAACCTCAGGCAGGTGGGAAGAGGTTTTGTGGCTTGAATGGCACGCGGGTGGGGTGAGGACCCTGGGTCTCTTATGGTGTCCCACTGGGAAGAGGCCTTGCCTGGGGACCAGCACCCTCTCCCCGGACCACCCAAATACCTAACAAAGGGCATCACGGCCATTGTCTCATTGGGGCCACCACACCCTGGCAAACGTCTCTAGTGGGAGAATGAAGAGAAGGAGGGTGTCAGGAGACAGGACCCCAAGGTCTCTGGCCCCCAACTGGACTTGGTTCCCCGAGACCTCCTTATAGCTGGGGCCTTACCTGAAGCAGTGGGCTGCCGTGAGGACCCAGTGGGGGTCCAGGATGCTCCCTCCGCAGACGTGCTGTTTGTCGTACTGGATGCTGACCTGCCAAGGCCAAGAATCCACAGAGGCCTCCTCCCCACCCACCACGCGGGGGGTCTTCAGGCTTTCCCCACAGGCTGGACACGGGAGGAGGCAGGGAGGAGGCAGGATGTCAGGCTCTTGGGTATGAGGCTGCCTCCCCTTAGCACTCAACATCTGCCCTGAGCGGGGTCCTTATGGCTGGGGCCAGAGTGGGGAGAGGACCGGGCCAATTTGAGTTATTCATGGGGAGATATCAAGTGTCCCGGAACACAGGCTTTCCCCAAACCTCCCTCTCTGTCTTTTTTTTTTTTTGGTTCCGGATGTGTTTAGGAGTTTAGACTATGAACATGGGTGTGTCTGTTGTGCTGGGAATTCGTGACCTTCACAAGTGATGCAGAATTACAAAGCCCTGCCCAGGTGGCATGTCCCCCAGCCACACCCACTGACTAACAGTAAACAGACACCCACAAGCTGTTTTGTGACTCGGGAGTAGACTGTCCCATCTCAAACTCCCCCTTCTCCAACTCTGTTCCCCTTGCCAGGGGAGTCCCTCCATCTGATATTCTGTCTTCCCACTGACCTGACTTTCACACCCCCACCGACCCCAGAACTCCTGTAAAGCCCTGAGGTCCCACCTCTCCACCCATGCTCTGCCTCTCCAATTCTTCTGGCAACCACCACCATGGTGGCCATTCTAAGCGGTAAAGGCTGCTTCCCTTTCCAATATGTCAGGCGCCGTGCTAGGCTGGTGCTTTTCAAACACCATCTGATTTCAAACACTGCTTTCTCCATGACACCTTGCCCACTCCCTGAAGCCCTTCAGGACCTCCCTTGAGGCAAAGTAGAGTTTCCACTCCTGGCAGCCTCCTGCTGTTTCATATAAAGTCTCGTCTAGCCAAATTGATCTGCTTGTAGTTCTCTAAAAAGTCATTCTGTTTTTGATCCAAAAAGATGCCCTTCCCTGAAATGCTGTCTCCTCTCCTAGTTCTCTAAATCAGGGGTCCCCAGCCCCTGGACCTCAAACCAGTACTGCTCCATGGCCTGTTAGGAACCCAGCTGCACATCAGGAGGTGAGTGGCAAGGGCGAGTGAGCATCACAACCTGAGCTTCACCTCCTGTCAGATCAGAGGTGGCATTAGATTCCTATAGAGCACAAACCCTATTGTGAACTGCACATGTGAGGGATCTATGTTCTATGCTCCTTAGTGAGAATCTAGGCTGGGTGCGGCAGCTCATGCCTATAACCCCAGCACTTTGGGAGGCTCAGACTGGCAGATTACCTAAGGTCAGGAGTTCAAGACCAGCCTGGTCAACATTTTGAAACCTGGTCTCTACTAAAAATACAAAAATTAGCTGGGTGGGCGCCTGTAATCCCAGCTATTTGGGAGGCTGAGGCAGGAGAATTGCTTGAACTCAGGCGGTGGATGTTGCAGTGAGCTGAGATAGTGACACTGCACTCCAGGCTGGGTGATAAGCTCTGTCTCAAAAAAAAAAAAAAAAAAAAAAAAAAGAGAGAGCGAGTGAGAATCTAATGCTCTCTATTCCCCTCTTGGTTTGTGGAAAAACTGTCTTCCATGCAAATGGTCTCTTGTGCCAAAAAGGTTGGGGACCACTGAATTCTAAATCATTCATTGATCTAACCAATTTGTGTCGAGTGCCCTCCGTCTTGGGGCAGGGCTGGGTGTTGGGAGATAGTGGTGCGCGGGACAGACAGACACGGGCTTTCCCTCCTTGAGCTGACAGATGCATTTTTCAGCGTTCAACCTGGGCCCCCAGCTCCTGGGAATTTCCCTTTCTCTGGAATTCCCACAGGCTGTCCCAGGTGTTGGCCACCCTTTCAGTGTGGCCGTGCTTAGGTCTTGTGTTTTTGGCAAGACAGAGACCGCTCGAGGGAGGACCTGCAGAACCCCAGGTGGTGTGGCCATCCATCCATCCATTCATTCATTCATTGACAAACCACCACGTGTGAGATCCCACACACTAGGTATTGTGGGATGGCAGTGGTGGGGTACACGATAATGAATTCAACTCTCAACATCCTACAGCGAAGCGTTTGCGCTCCTAAACTGCGGAGGCAGGGCTGTGACCTTCTTCTTCTCTTAGGCATTCTAATTTCTGGTTATCCTTCCAGGCCCATCTCAGTTCTCCATGAAGCTGGTAGGATGAGCTGAGCCACATTGCTTCATTTCTTTTCTGATCTCCTCTCTTAGAACTAGAAGAGTCCCTAGAGATCCTTAATGGGCAGTTGGATTAAAGGACTTCTTAGGAAAATGAACTTTAGGGAGGTCAGGTGAATGACTGGAGGCCACACTGGAAGTGAATGGGTCTTCTGGCCCTCTTCCAGATCTCTCTGCAGCAAGTCAACTGTGACTGCTACTCAGTTTCACGTTTTCCACATGTTGTCTTGCATCTCTCTCTTACTTAGTCATAAGCTACCAAGGATGGGGGCCGGTTATTTCACTCGTCTGGTATTTTCTACTTCTAGCCAGCAACTGACAGAGTGAGACACATTCTAACGGTTCAATGAATATTTGCTCAAATAATAAATGTGGGTAATCTGATCTTGGATACCTGAGGAGATTGTGACAAAAAAGGGCTATGTGGGTCCTAACCATGGGTGGGAGCAGTGGGGGCCCCATCCTGCCCTTTTCAGTCTTCCTAACGCCCTCTCCCAGGTCTCCACTTAGGTTGTGGGGCCATGTGCAGATGGTAGAAGGGAGTTCTTCACACCACAACCTGAGGGAGCATTGACCTGCAAGGCCAGGGTCTGTAGATCCAAGCAGATGAAACTTGGATTCCCAGAAATTTAGGAGTGAAGATGAAGGTCTTCCTGCTCGATCATTGCTGGCCCAGACCCCAAACCCTCAGAGATCGGGGGTACTCACCAAGGCAGTGCAGGGAGACCAGGGAGCCTGAGAGACAGGACCTGCAAAACAGACACAGTACCCTGTGATTTAAGCGTCTCCCTCAACTGGGAGGCAGGGACTCAAGCCTCCTGGTGCTGTTAATTCAAGTCCCCCCCCAATACCTGGGGATCTGGAAGATACACAGTGGAGAACACCTGGAGACTGCATTGACCTCATTGCATTTCCTGCACTGACATTTCCATTTGATTGGTTTCAATACCCCCACGGCTGAGTACCTACTGTGCGCTGGGCCCTGCCTGCTTCAAAGCCCAGTCTGGGATCCTGGGACTTGAGAGGTAAGAGGGCCGAGCCCGGAATAGAGTCTACAAGCTTTCCAAATGGAAAAATGGGATTTTGATGGCATTTTAGGCAAAGGATCATTCTGCTACCAACCCTGTCCTTTTCAAGGTTGACTTTCGATGAATAAGCAGCCCTCAGCAACATCCCTGAATGCTAAGAAGCCAGCCTCCTCTCTGAGCCACTTTGCAGCAGTGTGACAGATTTCATCTGGATGCTGTGCTCTAATGCAGGGTGGAAGGCTCGGGAAGAGGCCACCTACAAGGGCCAGGGAGCCTCTTCCCTGGAGCCTCAAGAAGGTGGGGAGCTCTGACTGGGTAAGTGTTAGGGAAGGACAAAGTGACATTGGAATCTTGCCTATCGGACAATTTATTAGAAAACCTACAGCAGTAGCAAAAACGATTTAGTATCCAGATTGATGGAAAGGTCACATTATCCATCCCTCTGACTTCGAGTAGGACAGCACACTTTGTCCAGCTGTCCACTGTGTTAGAAACAGGTCAACACAGGAAACCTCTCTGAAATGTGAGTCTGTAGCCCTTGGCATAGAGTGATCTGTCTTGCTGGGAGCTCTTCCTGATGTCTGCCTTACATTCCCCTGGCCGCTTGGCGTTCCAGGCAAGCTGGTTGCAGCCTGAAGAGCAGCGTCCACGTGTGGGTCTTCTGCAGGCCGGAAGGAGGCCCCTCACTTACCCACTTGAGTTCCTCACGTGAAGCTCCTGGCTGTTTTCTGTTATTTCAACAACTTCCAGATCCTGGTCTGGGCCAATCTCCACAGCTCTGAAAGTGGGTTTGCTGCTCGCATCAAGAGGGAGAGAGAGTTGTGAGCTGGGGGCAGGGGGTTGGAACAAGATAGTAGAGTTGGCCGCCACTCTCAGGAGACAGAGTGGTAGAGAACACCTGGTGGGGAGTGGCAGGGGAGCGGAGGTAGTCTTAGTCAGTGAAGATGGGGCCTGCTTCGCTATATCATAAAGAACATACCCTTGGCATCCCCCGACTCAAGCCTTGGTGCAGTGCTGATGTGACTTGCTTTCTTGGGCAGGGTCTCTAAATCCAGAACCCAGAGACCTGGAGAAATGTTAGGGGGGGTCTCCTTTCCAAACTCCCAGCTTTGTCCATATTTCAAATACCCCAGTAATGTCTTCTGGTTCACAGCCGGGAAACAAAGAGGCATAGGGGCCCAGGATAGCTCCCTTCTCACCTGGGAGGGAGTTGGAATGTGGATATTTGGTTACTCCAAACAAGGCATCTACTCTGACTTTGATGGTGGGGGTATGTTTCTGGCCCCCTTAGAGATATTAATAGAACAGGACTGGATCTGTCTTCATGTGAATCCAGACAGACCTCAATTGGACCACCCTCCCTCTTTCTCTCTGCTAATCCATGCTTACCTGCTTTCAAACCTTGGGTTGAAGTTTTTCCTCCTCCAGGAAGCCTTCCCTGATTAATTCCATCTCTCTGATTGTTCATTTACTAAATCTGCCTCTTCTAAATCTCTTCCTTCCATCCCCAACCATGCTAGAATGCTAGTAGAAGCTCTCCATGGAGGGCTGGGTCAATCAATGGTACTGGCTGATTGGTGTATTCTCAGGCAGGAATGCTGAAACTTCCTAGGAGGACCCAAGTCTTGGACCTGGGAGGACTAGAGTCGGTTTTAAGAGTCCTCATAATCTATAGGTTCTGTCCCTGGCTCTGGCACTAGTTTCATGTGTGGCCTTGGGCAGTTTGCATTCTTTTCCTGGGTCTCTCCAAGCCTCAGTTTCCCCCTCTCTAAAACGACGTATAGGGCTGGGCATGGTGGCTCATGCCTGCAATCCCAATACTTTGGGAGGCTTAGGTGGGTGGATCACCTGAGAGGTCAGGACTTCAAGAGTGGCCTGGCCAAGATGGTGAAACCTGTCTCTACAAAAATACAAAAATTAGACGGGCATAATGGCAGGTGCCTGTAATCCCAGCTACTTGGGAAGCTGAAGTGAGAGAATCGCTTGAACCTGGGAGGCGGGAGTTGTAGTGATCTGAGATTGCCCCATTGCACTCCAGCCTGGGTGACAGAGTGAGACTGTAAAAAAAAAAAAAAAAAGCATGGACCAGGAGAAGGGCCTCCAATCTAGAGGGAGGAAAGAAAGTAGAGAAATCTGAGACTTGGGGTCCAAAGTGGCTCCGGCCGGATGTCGTGGCGCTTGCGAAGGCGAGGTCATGAGTTCAAGGCTAACCTGAGCAACCTCACAAGCTCACATTGATTGGCAAAAAAAAAAAAAAAAAAGAGAGAGAGAAATCTGAGACCTGGAAGGAGGGAATATGATGGAAATGGACATTCCCAGGAAATGGGAATTAACTTCTGTTCACCAATTCCATCCCAATGAATGATTCTGATGAACTTTGATTTTGTAAAGCGCCAGAGTCAGGTGGTTTGGTGCATTAGCGAGCTCCAAAAGGACAGAAATTCCAGGAGCCTGTCACCTTAAGAACCCCTGGAGACACCTGGGTTTCACCATCAAGCCTCAGCCTGCTGTGCCAGGTACTGGGCTGACCGGCTGACGCAGCAGTTGACTGGACTACAGTGGAGAGGCCAGGCTCCTGGTTGCGTGAAGAGGAGAGAATAGTAGGTTGAGGCATAACTTTCTCACTCTGCTTGAAATGAAGGTGGCAGGGTATGCTTTCTAGAGGGTCCTGGAAGTTGCACCCCACAGAGAGTAGAGAGGAGCAGAAGCCTGATGAACAGAGAAGAGAGCGGCAAAGAATTCTGATTAATTTGTAATGGCTGCCTGGAGCATTTACTGAAAAAGGACTTTGAGGCTGCATTTGGGATCCATGGGAGAGAGTTCTGTGATTGATTGGTGATGTCTGCCTGGTAGAGGGTTTTGTTTGTTTGTTTTTTGTCTTTTGTCTTTTTTTTTTTGGGCTAGTCTCTGGGTCCAGTCTCTTAGAATCCTGAAGAAGTTTGAAGCCTGTCAGAGATAGGTTATCTCACTCTGCACTGAATGCATGGGTTCCGCATGAGAATAAAGAATTACCCAGTCTAGAAACAGAAACACCATGAGAACTCCTAATGCACAAAAATTAGGGGTCTTGGGCTCAAATTCTAGCCCTCTACCTCCCAACTACCACCCTAGCAAGTTACTTACTTTCTTTGAGTCTATTTATGAAGTAGATATAATAACTATCTTTTTGGTTTTCTGCCAAAATCGAATGAATATAAATATAAAAAATGCAAATTACTCTTATTATAATCTTACACCTTTTCATCTACTCCAGATTTGGAACTACTGTTGAAATTTGCAGAGGGATATGGGATTGCTGAAGATGGGGCCCCACTGAAACTAGGCTCACTTAAGCTAAATCTTAACCAACGAAACTTTGAATAAGTTAATTAGGGTTTTGTATTACTGGGCCGGAACAGTTTCTTGCAAAGTCAGGGCAAAGGAGTGAAGGTTGAGGGGTAAAGGAAAGGCGAGGACTGCAGAGAAGCTGGAAGTGTGTGTGTGTGTTGGAGGGCAGCACACATTCTCTCGTTGGCATTCCATAACCATCCTATGAGGTTGGCATTACTTCCCTCAATTCACTCTTGAGGAACCTGAGGCTTAGGAAATTTAACTTCCTGTTGCTTATAAGTGAAATGCTGGGATTCAAAAGCAATTCCACCTGGCTCTGATGCCTGTCTTTTTTTAGGAAAGAGAGAAGAAGGGAGGAAGGAAAGGGGGCAGAGGAGGAAAGAAGAGGGAGAGAAAAAGGACAGAGACCCAGGTTGTTTACCTGCTGTAGCCCATCTGCCTACAGGCTGTCTCGGCCAGAGCTTCTGTGAAGTTGTCGAAACAGGCAGAGAACCAGTTCCCTGTGGTTGGGTCCAGCACCTGCAGGGTGGATCGGTCCTTGGAGAGGCGGACTGGGAGGAAAGGAACCTGGGTTAGATGGAAGGCGGGGGCGTCTATCTGGCCCATCCCCCTCAGAACTCATCATGAGACCAGCCCAAGCTCCCCCAACCTAGAACTGGGGTTACCACAGAGCCCCAACACTTTCAACATCAAGGGAATCTCCTCCATTTGACTTTGTCTATTTGGGCCTCGATTTGACAGTAGCTAGCATGAGTGAATGTCCCGGGTCAGTCTCCATTTTGACCTGTTGCCCTGGCTTCATAGTGCCCCTTTTTGCTCTTACAGGTATCAGTTTTGATGATTAATTATGTGGTCACTTTACCCAGTGACCATATACAACTTGTTTCAATTGTATGGACCACATACCCATCCATGGTCCATACAGCTTGCCCAGCCTGGGGAAACTTCTCAGAGAGGGACCCAGGTCCTTCTCCAGGTAAGGTCAGAGTGGGAGGTTGGGTGAGAAGTCCTATTGGCAGTAGGATGACAGGTGCTCGTGGGCATTTGACTTCTGATCAAGAAAGGGCAAAGGCACAGGAAGTCACTCAGCCCTGCCCTCAGGAGCCCCATCACCCGTCTCCTAGCTATCTTTTTTCCTTCAGAGCCCAAGCACCAGGGGGATGAAGGTAGAAGAGCCCAGTCCAGGAGAGAACATGGGTTTTATGCTCAGAACATCTCCTATTCATTGGGAGGACCTGGCTCAGTCTAGTCACATAACGTATCTCAACAAACACTAATGAATAGAAGGACCAACAGCTGGCGAAGTGGCTGAGTAGTCTCTTTTCTAGTCTCCTTGAAATAACAGATCTTACAGAAAGGAGGAATACCCCAAGGTCACCCAGTCTAGCCCTCTGCCTGAAACTCACCCAGGTGCAGCAGGTATGGGGCAGGCTCAGTTACAATTTTCTGTTTTTTCTGACTCACATTTGTTCATCAAGTAGCTACTGTTTGCTACGTATTAAGTACTGGGATATAAAGGTAGACAAGACATGGTCCTGCTCTCAAGAAACTTATACAGCTGGGCATGGTGGCTCACGCCTGTAATCCCAGCATTTTGGGAGGTCAAGGCAGGTGGATCACCTGAGGTCAGGAGTTCGAGACCAGCTGGTCTAACCTGGTGAAACCCCATCTCTACTAAAATTACAACAATTAGCCAGGCATGGTGGCAGGCACCTGTAATCCCAGCTACTTGGGAGGCTGAGGCAGGAGAATCACTTGAACCTAGGAGGCAGAGGTTGCAGTGAGCAGAGACCAAGCCACTGCACTCCAGGGTGGGCGACAGACTGCTCTGTCTCAAAACAAAACAAAACAAAACAAAACAAAACAAAACAAAACAAAACAAAACAAAAAGAACCTTATGCAACAAGGATGAAAAGTGACAAGTAGGTGGCAGACACTATGCAGTGGGTCATGGGGGCCTGAGCAGACCTCCTGCTGAACCCACTCCTCTTCCCCCTCAGACCCTGCACTCACCTGCCACTGCAGGCCCTTCGGGGAAGCTCTTAACACAGTACTCCTCGTCCTCCCCCAAGGGACAGTCCAGTTCCCCGTCACACAGCTGGCTTCTTGGGATGAAGTGGAGGGGCTGCCCGCAGAGGAAGTAGTATTTATCCAGAATCAGCTTGACTGGAAGGCAAGTGCAGGGAGGGGCAGAGAAGGCTGAGGGTCAGGCTCCAGCAGGGAGAGGCTGTGTTTTCCTGGAGACAGCGCTGGGCTCGCAGACACGCATGGGTGAGTTCCAGGCCCGGTTTTGCTACTTGGTAGCACACAGACTTGAAGCTTACAGACAAGGAAGCTGGGCCTGTGCCTTGGCTTCCTCGTCTGTGAAGTGGAGATAGTAACACTGGCCCCACGCACACAAGATGTCTGAGGAGTCAAGAGAGGTCGTGTGTGTGAGGGAAATGGAGAAACAGGCTGGTAACTGCCTCTTACCTGCCCAGTGCTGGCTTAGAACGCTCTGCTAACAGAGGAAGAACCCGGAGTCTGAAGACCCAGTTCTGAGTCCTAGCTCTGCCACCTACTGTGCAACCTTTTTTTTTTTTTTTTTTGAGATGGAGTCTTGCTCTGTTGCCTAGGCTGGAGTGCAGAGGCGCGATCTTGGCTCACTGCAACCTCCACCTCCCGAGTACCTGGGATTACAGGCACGTGCTACCACATTTGGCTAATTTTTTTGTATTTTTAGTAGAGATGGGTTTCACCATGTTTGCCAGGCTGGTCTCAAACTCCTAACCTCAGGTGATTCACCCACCTTGGCCTCCCAAAGTGCAGGGATTACTGGCATGAGCCACCTCGCTTGGCCATACTGTGCAACTTTATAAGGATCACTTTCCCTTCTTAGTTCTCAGTTTCCTCATCTGTACAATGGGATGATAATATCTATAATATCTGCCTTACGGAACTGTTGAGAGCATGTGGTGTGATGGTAGCTGTGCAAATGTCTCCTAACTATTAAGTATAGTTCTAGAGTTGGGTGCTTTTATTTGGGTGAAAGAACTGTTAAATGATAAGAACACATGGACACATGGAGGGGGGTGTCAACACACACTGGGGCCTGTTGGGGGGAAGGCAGGGGGAGGGAGAGCATCAGGAAATATACCTAATGGTCACTGGGCTTTATACCTTGGTGAAGGGTCGATCTGTGCAGAAAACCACCATGGCACACGATTACCTATGTAACAAACCTGCACGTCCTGCATATGTACCCCAGAACTTAAAAGTTGAAGGGGCTGGGTGCGGTGGCTCATGCCTATAATCCCAGCCGAGGCAGGTGGATCACCTGAGGTCAGGAGTTCGAGACCAGCCTGGCCAACGTGGTGAAACCCCGCCTCTACTAAAAATAAAAAATACAGAAATTATCTGGGCATGGTGGCGGGTGCCTATAATCCCAGCTACTCGGGAGCCTGAGGCAGGAGAATTACTTGAACCCGGGAGGCAGAGGTTGCAGTAAGCTAAGATCGCATCATTGCACTCCTGCCTGGGTGACAAGAGCGAAACTCTTATCTCTAAAAGTAAAATAAAATAAAATAAAAGTTGAAGAAAAAAGTAATTTACAAATATAAATAAAAATAACTAAAATTAAGAAAAATAAAGACAGCTGTTAAGGGGTTGGTCCTTGGTTTTGTTTTGATGCTGCTTCCTGTCTTTGGATTCCGCCAGCTGCTTTCAAATTCTGTTGCTCTTTTGCCATCTTGGGATGATGGGAATATGTTCAGCACGTTTAACCCTTCAGGAAACTGATATTTTAATATTTTTTTTCTGGCCGTGCATGGTAGTTCACACCCGTAATCCCAGCAGTTTGGAATGCCAAGGCAGGAGGACCGTTTGAGCCCAGGAGTTCAAGATCAATTTGGGCAACATAGTGAGACGCTTGTCTCTACAAAAAAAAAAAAAAAAAATTAGCCAGGCATGGTGGTGTGCACCTGTGGTACCAGCTACGTCGGAGGCTGAGGCAGGAGGATTGCTTGAACCCAGAAGTTTGGGGCTACCGTGAGCCGTGATCACACGATTATACTCTAGCCTGGGAGACAGAGCAAGACCTTGTCTCGAACAAATAAACAAGCTTCCCTTAGTGAAGACTCACAGCCCAACACCCTGGCAGGAGGGAACTCCTCCTTCCTCACTGAACTCTCTCTTGGCCTGATGCTCCCCTCTCTGGTCCAGTGTCACCCTGGTCCTAAGAGTAGTGGCATTAAATCTAACAATGGTCCCTGCTTGTCACTGTGTCAGGAGCTTTCCATACATTTCCTCATGTAATCATGGTAACAGTTTTGGGTGGGAGGTATCATTATTAACTCACATTACAAATAGGGACATGGAGAATTGAAGGCCAAGCTCTATTTTCCCAGGCCACACAGTGCTTCCAGTGTACAGCCAGGGTCTGTCTAACTCCCTGGGGGAGCTTGAGATGTGATCTGCTGGCCCTGATGCTTCTGGCTTGAGTGAAGCCAGGGAGAAGGAGGAGCCATTTCTTTGAGTTTGGTTTATAATAGGAGCCAGGGCAACGTAGGGTCACCCCAGCCCCCTGGGACAAAGCCAGGAGACAGCGTCACCAGTTGAAACTCCAGAAGCCATAAGGTTGAGGGAGTCCAGCTTAGGATGGAGGACTGGGTTACAAACTCTGATTGCAGAATCTGGGATATGGAAGCCATGTAGAACCTTCTGGTACAGGGAGTGTCCAGCTCTGAATTATGCTTTAGTGCCTGCCTGGCTTTCCCTGGATAACTTTGGCCCCCTTTCTCTCCACTGCGGCAGTGCGCATGCTCACGGAGAGCAGGCTCGTTTCAACATTAGCCTGACCAGCACAGGCTGGGAAGTCTGCTGATGTCACTGCAAATCTCCATCATGTGGGCAGCCAAGGTCAAGGAGAAATGGCTTGGGGTTATCTGTATCTCACACTCCTCCAGGGCTCCCAGGGCTTTGAGTGGGGTTTATGTTACGATCTGCATTTCAAGCAGGAGACGAGGGTCCTGTCCCAGCCTTGTCCCTGACTGCCACTCCGCCTCTCTGAGCCTCAGTGCTTGTGTAGAAAGAGGATCAGAGGCTCTCTCAGTGTCCTCCAACCAGGCAGTTGGCTGCTACTGCTGGAAATGTCACCGCAATTACAAGTGCAGGTTCCTGAAAGGCCAGCTATTCCCTGGCTGCACAGGCAGTCCTGCCCCAGTTAGCAAATGCACGTCCTGCATCACATTTCACCTGCTGCTGTGTGATGACACAGTCTTTTGAAAAACTTAGTTTTTAGCCAGGTCCTTTACATATGTTATCTCGTTGGTGCTCATGATATAGCTCTGAGGAAGGAAGGACATTTTACAGGTGAGGAGACTGAGGGTACAAGGTTGTGCAGCAGCAAGTGGCAGAGCCAGGATCCCTGTCCCAGGTGTCCTGATTCCTAGTCTGGTCCCCTGATTCCCAGTCTGGTCCCCAGTGCCCTACTCCCTGCTGTGAAAAGTTGTGGTCACTAACCTGCTCTGCTCATGTAGGTAACAAAGGCAATGACTCTATCATGGGGTGTGGGAGCCGAAAGGGACCCACATCCCTGCTCCTTCGGTTGAATCTTCTTTATCACAGATAAGGGCCTGATGCAGAGAGGCCTGGTCAAGACCACAGTGGGCCTCAGGCACTGGCCATGGTGAAGGCTAAGCTGAAGGGTGCTGGGTGCTGGCTGCCTGGGGGGGGGGGGGTCTTCCCTGCTGTCTCCTCTTCCCTCCTCACAAGCAGAAATGCTCCCTGTTCTTCCAGCCTCTGCTCAGAGCCACTCAGCTTGCAATCTGCAGAAGACAGGAAGGAGGAGGCAGAGGGCGTGGCGGCCCTGCAAATTGCCTGCGTGGGTTAGGAACATATGCCACTGTGCTCTCCCTCTAGAAGAAATCACCTGGGATGGAAGCCATCTGGAACAGATGGGGGCTGAGTTCATCTCCCCTTTCACTCTCAGAAGAAGGCTTTCTTCAAAGCAGAGGGTGGATGGATACATGATCTTTCTTTCTTTCTTTCCTCTCTCTTTCTTTCTTCTTTCTTTCTTTCCTTCCTTCTTTCTTTTTTTCTCTCTCTCTTTCTCTTTTTTTCCTCTTCAAATTCCTTTTTCTTTTCTTCTTTTTTAGACAGAGTCCGGCTCTGTCGCCCAGGCTAGAGTGCAGTGGTATGACCTTGGCTCACTTCAACCTCCACCTCCTGGGTTCAAGCACTTCTCCTGCCTCAGCCTCCTAAGTAGCTGGGATTACAGGCACCCACCACCACACCCAGTTAATTTTTGTATTTTTAGTAGAGACGGGGTTTCACTGTGTTGGCCCAGGCTGGTCTTGAACTCCTGACCTCTTGATCCACCTGCCTTGGCCTTCCAAAGTGCTGGGATTACAAGCATGAGTCACCACACCTGGCCTCTGAAATTTCTTTTTATTATATCAACAATTTTTTTCTGCAAAGATTTATGCAGATTACCTGCCCCTGACTGTGGGAGTGGGGCCTGCCACTTACTGAGGGGGTGAAAGACAAGGAAGGCTGCTACTTACTGAAGTGATGAGGGTAGGGGTGGGGCTGCCACTTACTGAGGGGGTGAGGGAGAGGTGGGGGACTGTCACTTATTCAGGGGGTGAGTGCGGGGTTGGGGGGAGTGGGCCTTGTCATTTACTTAGAGGGTGAAAGTCGGGTAGGGGCTGTCACTTACTGAGGACAATCACAATGATGATACTCGCCAGGCTCAGCAGTGCCATGATGATGGGGATCCCCACCTTTCTGAAGGTCTCCATGGGGGTACGGGATTTGCGCAGGGGGTTGACATCTGCAAGGACATGGGAGGCAGAGGGGAAGAGCATGCAGTCAGCACTTGGTGATCCCCCCAAGCCAAGATCCCCACTTGCTGTCTGGCGGGTGTCAGGAATGCCTTGAGGACAGTTTTGGTTAATGCTGGGGGGTTATTCCCGCAGACTAGGCTTAGCTTCATCAGCACATGATCACCCTGCCTCTTCTCACATATCCGGGCTTCCCCAGCTTTCACAAGTACCCCTCAAAGGCGCCTCCAGGTCAGGCCGCCTCCCTGTTGTCTTGCCTGAGCCTGTCCTAGGACATTTCTAGGTTCTGTCTGACCCTCTCCTGCCCGGGAGAGGCCTGAGCCCCTGGGGCATGTACCCATTCACTGTGCTACCAATTATCCTTTTCCTGACCGCCTGACTTAGCTTTTGATTAAACACTAAGCTTCAGGTGGGCAAGGGCCTCCAGCACAGTGTGGGCTTAGTAGAGGCTTAATAAATACTTGTGAATGAATGCATTCTCAGTCCCACAAACAGCAAGTCCCCAGCCTGGTCCCTATCTTTAACGAGATTAGCATCTGGGGGAAGAGCCAGGTAGAAGATAATATATGTTACAATAGAGACACCTTCAAAGGTAGACTGGGTTGCATTTAAGGTAGCACTTAAATGCAGGTGGAGGTAGACACTGGCCCAGCTCAGGAGGAGGCATGGAGTGCCTGGTGTGCCTGGGGTACCAGGGAAGAAAGGCAAGCTGGAAGCCAGGATGAGTGAAGGCAGCTGTGGAGACTCTTACACACCATGTTAAGGAGTCTGGGTTTTATCCTGAAGGCAGTAAGGAGCCACTGAAAGTTTTCAAGCAGTGGAGAGACAGGATCAAATTAATTTTAGAAAGGTGAATCTGCCCAGGCATGGTGGCTCACACCTGTAATCCCAGCACTTTAGGAGGCCGAGATGGGCAGATCACTTGAGGTCAGGAGTTCAAGACCAGCCTGACCAACATGGTGAAACCCTGTCTCGACTAAAAATACAAAAATTAGCTAGGCATGGTGGCACATGCCTGTAATCCCAGCTACTCGGGAGGCTGAGGAAGGAGAATCGCTTTGAACCCAGGAGGTGGAGGTTGAAGTGAGCTGAGATCACACCATTGTACTCCAGCCTGGGTGACAAGAGCAAGACTCCATCTGAAAAAAAAAGGAAGTTGGATGGATTGTTCATCAGGAAGGAGGTGGATTGGAACAGAAGAGCCTGGGGTTAGGGAGACCAGGTAGGAGCTTATTGCTGTCTAGAACAGAGGCAATAATAACTACATTCTCCATTGCACATGGTTATTTCAAGAAGGAACTTGGGAAAGGGAAAACTTAGGTAAAATTAATATCAGTAAGTATCAGAGATGCATTCTTTTAGGTCTCCTTGTGGGAAATAAACTGTGGAGGTGCCATGGGGACTTCTCTCCTGGGGCAGCTGGGGCAAGAATTCTGGAAACCCTGGGAAGTAACGGATCAGCTCTCCCACCCTCACCTTTGCATAGCAGGCTCCCCTCTCCTCCTCCCAGTCTTTTCTTCACTGTCACCTTCACATTGAGGCCTTCCTGGATTTCCCTATTTAAAATGCAGCCTTCCAACCTTTCCTGTCCTCCTTCCTTGCTTTCTTTTCTTCCAAAGCATGTATCACCTCTCACATACGCTATATTTGACATATTTTGTATACTCTCTGTCTCCTCCCACCCCTCCATGAAATGAAGACTAATTGAAGATATAACTTGTCTGTTTTGCTCACTGCTGAGTCCCTGGTACCTTGAACAGTGCTTGGTCCATAGCAATTGCTCAACAAATATTTGTCACATGAGCAAATGAATTGTTCTTGGCTCTGTTCTCTTAAGCTCATCACTTCTCCTACCTACCTTCTTTTCTTTCTTTCTCCCCTCTCTCTCTTTCTTTCATGGAATCTGACACCCAGGCTGGAGTGCAGCAGCAGTGGCATGATCTTGGCTCATTGCAACCTCCAACTCCTGGGCTCAAGCCATCCTCTTACCTTAGCCTTCCAAGTAGCTGAGACTATAGGCATGTGCCACCATACTCAGTTAACTTTCATATTTTTTGTAGAGATGGGGTTTTGCCACGTTACCCAGACCGATCTCAGACTCCTGGGCACAAGTGATCCACATGTCTTGGTCTCCCTCAGTGCTGGGATTACAGGCATGAACCACCATGCCCGGCCCCTTCTACCTTTCTTACAGGTCACATGTTATTCTGCCTTGAATGATGGCTAATCACACGTCTGTCTCTATTTCTTTCCTCAACTCTTCAAAAGCAGAGAATGGCATCCTGCCAGAGACTGGCACCCAATGAATGCTAGTATTAATGAATCTGTTGACAAAGAAAAGCTTAGGACACTTTGTGTTTCCCCCAAAGAAAGTTTTAACTTCAGACACAGAGGCCAGGCGGTGGGGACGTGGACTGGAAGCGGTATTGCCCATCAGCTACGACCTGGCACAAAGTAGCTTATCAGTCCTGTTTGCCGATATGGTTTTTAAAGTTCCAGCAGCCGGTCTTCAGAATTGTCCTCTTTCCTGTGGCCGTGGCCATGATGACATTTGTTCACGAATTCATGCATGATTTATTTATTGAGCACCTATCTCTGGGAACGTGAGATCCGTTTGTTTTCTCAGAGAGTGAGTGACCCATTGTCCAGGGCCAGACATTCTCAGGGACCATCCTCTTTCCTCACCAGGAGGGGAAGAGTTTTCATACCTAGTTTAAGTTAACGAAACCAGTGAGCTATGCACAGCCTCCTTGCCGGCTGTTGCTCCTCCCTCCAGCCTGTCCTGCCCACTGCTGCTAGACAGAGCTTCCTGGAAGCTTGCTTTCATCCTGTCACTTCCCACTCGAGAGCCTACGAGAGACTTCCACAGCTGGCTTACATCTTTCAAAGCCAGTGTAATCTGGCCTCTCTCTCTGAGCCACATGGACTTCCACCAATCCCCAATTCTGCATAGGCATGGTCAATCCCCGGTCCTCGAGCAAATTCAGCTTGTTTCCTGGTTTGAGAGTTCTCAGGCTTGCTCAGATGGTGGAGCAGTTGGCGCCCTGGTGTTCTTCGGGGACACCGTGACCTCACTCTTCTATTAAATTCCAAAGTATAAACTAGGCACCATTTTAGTTGCTAAAGATTACTTCGTTTGTGGTCATCATGAAGTCATGACCCAGAACTGGGAAATAAATAACCTGTCAGAGTAAGCAGGATTGGCCATTTTCTTATTGATCTGTTCATATTAATGGGTTCCTTGCTCATTTGTTTTGCTGATCCAGCAGCCTATCAGGAGTAGATATTAAATGTTTAAAGAAAATGTAATGGAAGAAAAGTATCTCCTTAAATTTGGGATTGTTCTACTTATTAACTTATTTTTCTTCCCCTGGAAATTGGGCAAGCACTGCCATTTTTCATGAAAATGCCTCTGGCCAGCTTGTGCCTTGGTGGCATGGTGTGACTGTGAACTCCATGAGAACAGAGACTTTGGCTGTCTTAATTACTGTGATCGCCCAGCGTCCAGCCCAGGGTCTGGCACATGGCAGGTACTTACAGTTTTACTAAAAGGGTAAGAGTAATTGAATGGATGAATTGGAAAATCACTGCTTTGGGGACTTTAGGTTTGTTGGTCCTGTTTCCCCTGAGACCAGACCTCCTACTTCTAGAATGAATCCTGGAATGTTTGCTGAATGATGGATAGATGGGTGGCTGGATGTCACCGGTGGCAATTAGCACTTTGGTGGTAGTGGTGAGGGCCAGGCAAGAGTGGCTTAGGATTGAGTTGGTAACTGAAACTCAGAGGCTAAGGTGGACAGACGAAGGCTGGACCTGAACTTACTTACCGAGGCTGTTCAGAGGTTGATCACTGTCAGGATCCTGTAATTGAAGGAAAACAAGTCAGTGAGTTGAGGCGGGAACCTCTCAGGCTGGGGCTGGCTGCCTAGGGGAGGTTCTTGGGTCTGTCTGCATTCCCTTCTCCCTGAGTCTAAGTTGGCGGGCTCTGTGTTATCCAAATACCTGGTTCAACAGGAAACATTCAGTCATGTACCTATTTGATCTGTTTCAATTAGTTTACTAATTGTAACAACTGGTTAGCAGTTGTAGAAGCAACTGGTTACCAGGTTTGTTGTGTAAAATTTGAATTCCTCAAGATGATTCTGCTCCGCTTTCTGTTTTTGTCAATAATTTGTCTATTTTTACTGTATTTCTGTAAAAACTTGAATAGACATTTTACAAAAGGGAATGCCCAACTGGCCAATAAATACCAAACAATGCTTAATATCATTACTTATCAGGCAAATGCAAATTCCAACCAAGATAAAATATCTCTACATAAACACTAAATGGCTAAAATTAAAAAGACTTACAATTCTGTGTGGAGAATGTGGGGCAACAAGAGCTCTCAGACCTTGTTGGTGGGAGTGTAAATTGGTACAAATACTTTGGAAAATGGTTTGGCTGAATTCACTAATGCTAAACATACAGCGATTTTATAATTCTATGATCGATGACCCAGCAATTCTGCTCCAGGATATAGCTAAATGAGTAAAAACGTCCAGCAAAAAAAAAAAAAAAAAAAAAAATCTGTACATGAAAAATTATAGTCGCTTCATTCATAATAGCTAAACATTGGAAAACTCAAATGTCAGTCACTGGTAGAGTAGACAAAATTGTGATGTTTTCATATAATAGAATATAATTCAGCAACAGACAAGAATAAACTAGAGCTAAAGGCAACGACATGGTTCAATTCCGCCGATGCCATGATGAAGGAAAGAAACCAGTCACAAAAAGTCCGATTCCATTTACATAAAGTTTAAAAGGCAAAGTTAATCTACAGTGCTACAAGTCAGAATGGTAGTTATCATCGGGAGGCGGCAGTTAGTGATTGGAAGGAGCACAGTGGAGTCTTCTGGAACACTGGAAAATTTCTGGTTCTTGTTCTCGGCATTGGTTACATGGGTGTTGATATGTGCAAATGTTCACTGGGAGGTAGAGTTGAGACCCGAGCGCCTTACTACGTATATGCTACCCACACTATGATATTTCTGAGTGGTGGTCTTAGATGGTGGTCTTAGGCCACCATCGACACATGCACACAAATACATGCAAAGGCATTTCTACTCACACCACTCCACGTGTGCACTTGTGATCCCTGCTTTTCGCCAGCTAAAACGAACTCTCCTTTCCCTGACTAAAAGTTGATCAGGTTTTATGTTAGCCTTTCTGAGCTGAACAGACGCCATCTTGACTTCTGCATTTTAGTAACCTTCTCCCCGTCAAGTATGTAACCTTAGTATAAAGCAAGGTCAGACTGACTCTGGGACCCAGAAATGCCTTTGTTCATAAGAGGCCGAGTAAAGTGGTCTCAGCAGAGCCTGGAAATGCAGCTGCAGTGAGCGCCCAGAGCCCCCTTATCTCTAAGTTGTATGTCTTTCGTGACGGCTGTACTCCTCACCACTGTTTTATTTCTTAGGTATCAGTTTTTCTTTTTAACTCTTTGCTTACTCTGCCTTTGTGAAAACTTTGTTTCAGCTAGGTTACCCCCCGCCTCCTGTTAAAACTGGTGTATAAAAGACCACCTAACTTTTTCTCTGGGGCCAAGAGAATTTTGGGCGTTAGCCACTCTCGGTCGCCGGCTTAATAAAGGATGCATAATTCATTCTCAGAGTGTGGCGCATTCCTTGACTCGCTCAGGTACAACACACTCAGCAACACACAGCCACACAGAGTCACCTGCAGGAGCCTCTGACATAAAGGCTTGCCTACAAAGTGCACGTACGCCCTTTCTTCCAGGCAAAGGTTAAAGGGAGGGTGCTGTCCAGGTTCACGCCCTCTGATCCCTCCCCTCACTCACTCAGGCCTCCCAGGAAGCTTCCTTCTCTTTCTTCATTTTCCAGGTCTGGTCTGGTTTTGGACTCCTGGGCTAGATGAAAGCACCACTGCCCTGCCTGTGGTCTGGGTCTCCACCCAGGGACTTGCCTGCCCTATGGTGCTGAGGTCATGACCCGTCTTGGTGGTGATTGGAAGAGTGACAGGACCTTGTACATTTCTGACTGGAGATTTTCTGTTCCTCTTGGGAGTGAGAGGGCCTCTTTTAATCTCTGGGTAGGTGACCCAGATTAGATATGGAAGGAGGGTCCCTGCTCCATAGCTAAACATAGTGGACACAGCAATTGGGAGAAGCTCTTTCTTTTCCCCTTGAACTTGAGCCTATAGCCTGCTAGAGGAACATGCTCGGCCTTGCCCTTGGGTGCCTCTAGGCCATGGGTGGCCTAGTGGTATAGCACACAGCCAGGCTCTGCAGTCTGCAAGGGCCGAGCCGGGATACAAGCCCTGCCTCCTGTTAACTGTGTGCTTTCAGGCAAGATCCTTCACCTCTTTGAGCTCCAGGCTTACCCTCTGTAGAGTGGGGACAATAAAACTTGCCTCAAAAGACTACTGTGAGAATTACATGAGTTGTTTGGTGGGAAATGCCGGGCTCTCACATGGAGACTCCCTTTTGTCTGCCCTCCCATGGAAACCGCCTTTGCAAAATGATGACTCAGACAGTGAAAGAGATCTAACTCAACCAACTCCATCTTGCTTCGAACGTCCAAGCTGTCTTCGTTTCTTAGTTTATTGTTTAAACAAAGTCGGTGACAGCTCTTTCCCAAAGCAGACCTCCTTCTTGCCTGGGGACTGGACTGACATTAGCCACAAGATTAGAAATTGTGGTTTAGGAGTCATGCAGCTGGAGGCTACAAGATTCTGACCCTCCCCAAACTGCTCCTAATATCAGTGCTTGAGATACTGTGCAGACCCTGCACTTGATGGATCAGCTGGCACCCCCCAGATCAATATACTGGCTCATCTGATCTTGTGGCCCCGACCCAGGAACGACTCAGTGCAAGAAGATCTCTCCAACTCCCTATGACTTCATTCCTGACCAATCAGCCCTCCTGGTTCACTGGCTTCCCCCCGCACACCAAGTGAACCTTAAAAACTCTGCTCCCTGAATGCTCGGGGAGACTGATTTAAGTAGTAATAAAACTCCAGTCTCCTGCACAGCTGGCTCTGTGTGAATTACTCTTTCTCTCTTGCAATTCCCCTGCCTTGAGGAATTGGTTCTGTCTCAGCAGCAGGCAAGGTGAAGTCCTTGGGTGGTTCCACCATCCTCTGCACCTCTGCAGTGTTTGGTACAGGTGTTTATCACAGTACTTCTTCCATAGGGTGGTCAGGGTCTCCTTTTCTATTTTCTTTCTTTCTGGTTGCTTTTTAAATTTAACATTTTATTTTTAATTGACACATAATGACTTTCTCATTGCCTTTGTACCCGTGGTGTTTAGCACCAGGCCAGTACCCTAGTAAGAACTTAATAAATGACTATGAACTGGACTGAACGTTGAGCTCTGCATTGTAGTTCATTCCCAGCCATCTCGCCTCCACCATCACCAGGGCTGGGTGGAGGAGACTATTTCCAGGCTGAAGACAAGACCCAATCGGGCAACTCTGCATTGTTGTGGATAGAGTCGAGTTACAATAATATCAACAGTAATTCACACCCAACTGGTGCGTAACGGTTTACAAAGACCTTTCATCTAACTTGTCAAGTCAAGGGTAAAAAGGCTCCATATCAGTTGTCTGCTAACCAGGATGGGAAACATTAAAGAATTAATTATTAAACTAAACAAAAGCTTGTGAAGCATCTACATTGTACCAGGCACTACTCCAGGAGGATTCAAAGACAGATAAGAAATCATCACAGCCAGATGGGGAAAACAGTGCCCAAACAAGATGGCCGAGGGTCTGTCCCTGAGAAGCTTGCTTCCTGGTGGAGAGGAGGATTAGGGGAAGAGGAGGACAGGCCATACACAGATACACCAGAAAAGATCAGAGAGGGGTGGATGCTATGCAGAGAGAAGTCCAGGGTGAGAGGAGACAGAACCTGGATGGAGACTGAGAATGGGAGCTCTAGGAAGGGGCTCAGGATGCTTAGGGAGGATCTCGCTGGTCTCCCTAAAGGAGGTTACAAGAAGGAGTCAAGTGGGAAGGAACAAGTTTGAGGGGTTGGAAGAACTGAATAGAGATGAGCATGACTGGAGCAAGGTGAGGACATGAGGAGAGAGGAGGCTGGTAGTAAAAAGACGCCATAGGTGTTTGAAAGATATAGGCAATAGGCCTTGCCGAGAGATTGGGTGTTCTTGGGTTTTAGTTATGTAGGTGAGAGGGTGCTTGCTGAGCTGTGGGAGGCTAGAGGAGGGGCTGGTGGAGCAGGGAAGTGGGCCCTTTCCTGTCAATGTATTCCTTTCCACTGAGTCTACCTGTGCATGCATGCCTGCATTCATTGAAGAAGGTAGGGCAAGTTTCTTTTGTTTATTGGTAATTTGCCAAATATTGACTAACACCTTTGATGGACCCGGAATTGTGCTAGAAGCTGAGGCACAAAGGAAGCTTATATTCTGCACTTTCTGGGGCCTTGGATTCCTTATCACTGAACTAAACAGTGGCTAATTTGTGTGTGTTCGTGTGTGTGTGTGTGTGTGTGTGTGTGAGAGAGAGAGAGAGAGAGACAGAGAGACAGAGACAGGGTCTCATTCTGTCACCCAGGCTGGAGTGCAATGTTGTGATTTCAGCTCATCGTGAGCTGAAACTTGTGCCTCCTGGGCTCAAGCTCTCCTCCCACCTCAGCCTCCCAAGTAGCTGGGACTACTGGCATGCACCACCAAGCCCAGCTATTTTTCATTTTTAATTTTTTTGCAGCGATTAAGTCTCACTGTATTGCCCAGGCTGGTCTTGAACTCCTAGACTCAAATGATCTGCCCACCTCAGCCTCCCAAAGTGCTGGGATTACAGGTGTGAGCCACCATGCCTGGCCCTTAATATGTTTTCAATTGCTATTAACTGAGTAGTAGTTGTGGGAGAAAATTCCACACCTGTTTGAAACCAAAAGAGAGAGAGAGAAAAAATAAACTAAAGCAAAACCATAAACTACAATTCCAGGGACTGTGACTATCTTGCTAACCATGGCTTCCCTGATGTCTCCTACAATGCACTGTGCATAATGAGTGTTGAAAGAATATTTGTTGGATGAAAGAATTAATGATTATATCTCAGTTTGAAGACTCAGTCTCAGGTCAGTCTTTATGAAGCTGACCAATATATTCACACAATGACAGATTAGGCTACAGTCAACACAAACGAACTATAGGGAAACCAAATAATATGGATGGTATTAGAATGTAATATTCTGGGAAACAGTAAGCACAGGCTCTTTTCCATAGAGAAGCAAGGGAATGATGAACATGGGGTTTGGGATGAACTTACCTGGGTGGGGAGCTTCTACATAGTCTCTGGTCCATGAAATATGTACAGCCAATATTTGTTGAATTAATAAACACATGACACTTCCCCTACCCACCTGAGGAGGGGGACGGATATGTGTGTGCTGGAGTGGGAATCTCATGGTTAGAGGTAGGTTACCATTAAGTCCTAGCTTTTGTTGGGAATGGTGGGTTTATGGAGGCTTATTACATTGTTAACAGCAACTAACTAGCAAGTTACAAATGCACCCTGCAAGGAGCAAGAATGAAAAAGTCATGAAGCAAAGATCCTAGTTCCCCCAGTGCTATGCACTCAAGACTCAAGGAGAACATAGAAAAGCCATCACCTGGCTGTGCTGAGTGGCTTGAAGAGGTCAAACTCATGTCCTCACCATGCCTGAGTTTTTCCATGAGTGGCTCATTCTTTGGCTTTTCTTGAAGCTCTTTGGCAAACATCTCTGATGCAGAGAGATCAGAGAGGATGGACAGATACCCTTCTGGAAGAGAAGCTGCAGAAGGTCACGAATACTGGGGCTGACGGGCAGAGAGGAGGTAGGGGCATTTTAGCAGGCCTGTGAGTGTTCACTGGGGAACATCAACGTCAATGACATCCCTGAGCAGGACAGAAATAGGGACTTATGGCCAGCTGAATCTCCCCTGAGCCCAGAAGCAACAATCTTGAGCTAAGGAGAGTAGAGAATGGGGCCAAGAGATGTGGGTACCAGGTAAGAGTCAGAGATCCAGCCAGACCCCATCACCATGATGGGTCCCTGCCGTGACTACAAGATGCAAAGCTGAAACAAGGCAACTTCCTTATTTTCAGATGAGAAAACAGAGGCCAGATAGAATTTGTCTTAACCTGGAGTTAATAGAAGAAAGGAGGAAATTGAGACATCACGAAATAACACATGCGCTTCCTTCTGCTCTGCTGGAGATGTGTTTATTCATCCCCAGCTTGAACTCAGCTTCTGGCTACAATTGTTACAGCCCACGCCCAGCCCAGACCAAGCAAAGGCATTGGCCTTTCACTTTCTGTTTTGACCACTGGCTGGGCCTGGCCTGTCTGCTCTGTTGATTCAGTCTTTCGCAGAGCTCTGACTCATGGGTCCGGCCCAGCCAGTGTCTGACCAGAGGCTCATCCGGGAATGAAGCTCCTGCTGTCTGGAGTACAGTGGAAGGGCAAGAATGCCCAGGCCCCCAGGGCCCAGGCAGGGGGGCGGTGGTGAGGTGGGGAGGCAGAAGTGGGTGGGTTTCGATTGCTAGAAAACCTGTCATTGCCTGATCAACTCTGAGAATCTTCTTTTCCTGCTTCTCGGTTTGTTACTGGCAGCAGGAAGTCATTAATCCAAGACACAAACATGGAGGTGGAACCATTAGTTACCGCAGTTGGATATTGTTATGTAATTTACGATGTCCTTCTTTCATAAATGCCGTCCTATATAATCCATGGAACAACCCCGAGAAATTATCCCCATTTTACAGAAGAGGCAGCTGCTGTGGCTTCGGAGTACTCCGAAGTAAGGAACAGATCTAGCCCCTTGGGCCCAGTTTCTGGACTTGACGAACTGCTAGTTTCATTTCCCCACGGTTTCAGGACCTCATCTGGGTAACAGTCATTAGCTGGTGCTGGGTCCTTTTAAATCACTCCTCCTTTGCAATGCAACCTTGTTGGATATAATCAGCACGCAATCGGCTCACAGAGATTGCCCCCAGCATCTCCCCAGCTCTTCCTTGGTCTGAAGGCAGAGTGACTTTGCTCGGTTCTAGGCTCTGCCATATCATCCATGAGTGGGGTCAGGAGACCTCCCTCAAAGAGCATGTCGGGAAAGGGGCCTATTGCAGGGCTTGGTTCCTAGGAGGGGTTTTATTGATATTAGCATTAATTCTTCCCTTTCTTCCATTAAGTTTCCACCCTTCTCACCTGCTTCTCCTTCCTTTATTCCTATTCCCCACCCCTACCACTGCGTTAGATTATGGGGATCCTCCCGGTTGGGCTTAGCTCAGCTCCAAAAGTAGAATGGACATCTTCGGGCCCACTTCCTTTTTAGCTCAGAGATGATGAAGCCAGATACGAGGCTGCTCTTGTTTTTCAATGGAGTGAAGATTAAGCGGCTGTAGAGAAGCCACCAGCCTGGGGAGTATGAGTTCTCATCTTGCCTTGTTTTCTGACTTGTTGTGTGGCTGTGGGCACACCCCTCAATGTCTCTGAACCTCAAGGTCCCTTTGGGTAACTGGGAACTATCTTTCAGAGATGGGATGAAAGGGTTAATCCCCTTACAATGAAACAGACAAGTCCACCAGGCTAATAAGGAGGGGAAGACGCTGCAGCAGCTTAAGGGGCCAAAGGCACAGGAACCTCAGCCAACTCCTGTCTGCCTCCCTTGCCAAGCAGCCTGTCCCTGGGGCCCGATTTCTCTCTTCCTCCCTGCAATGCTGACTTGGCATTGCTTGCTCTGAAAGAATTCAGTAGGGGCAGAGCTGGAATGACCGGAGTGTGGACAAAGGGAGAAAAGTAGGGGCACATAAAAGGGGCCTCCTGACCCTGTTCCTGTCTGTGGTAGCGTCAGCCTTCCCTGGAGTCCAAGACCCTGGCTTCCCATGGTCTCATAGGAAAACCTAGAGCCAGAGATGCTGCTGTTGCTAGGTGATGGAATAAACAGGTCCTTTGAGACTTGGGCAGGTGGCAGCTAGGTCGCTGAGGCCAGTGACAAGCAGTGGGGAAAACCCAAGGGAAGGGGTGGGGAAGTTCTTTGGGTGAGCCAAGAGACCCAGAGGCACTCACAGTCAGCTTGCAGAGTGTGGCCCGGCCACAACGCTCAGGGAGCTCCTCCGAGGGAGCCTCACTCTGCTCTCTGACCCCGGAACCTGCATCCCTCCCACAAACCAACTGCAAGCAGCTGTGTCCTCTCCACTTGCAGCTGGAATAGGCAGTTGGATGCCTTTGCTGTGCTGGAAGCAGGGCTCTCTCTCTTGGATGTCTCAGCCATGACAGGTAAGGGGAGGAGAGGGCTGCTGAGGGCTGGAAGATCATGGAGCAGGAGAGGAGGGAGTGAGGTTCCTGACATGAGTCTGGCTGTGATGCAGCTCAGAGATGACTGATCGTGCCTGCTTCCAAGCGTCCTGGGATCTCACCTGTTACTCCAGGCAGGTCGGCCACCAGCCCAGGCCATATGCAGCTGGGTGTCTATGCTCTTGCACGAAGAGGATTTCAGGAGCATCCTCACAAACACTGCCTTGTGTTAGGTATTCTTAGAGCAGCACTTCTTTTTTTAGGGTTAACCTCAGCCTCGGCTGCCACATTAGAAACCATTTTGCCTTGTTCTAAACAACATAGGTGCTGACCTGTTGGCAATTTGAGAACAAACACCCCAGCCCCCATCCCAGCACATAATGGCTCCAGGGCAGAACTGGGGCAGAAGGGGTCAGGTAGCCTGCCATTATCCCCTGCCAGCCTGCTGTTCAGCTCCTTTCATTAAAGAATCAGGCTTTTTGTTTGGGTATAGCTCTTAGCTCCAGGTAGGGCCGGGGAGGCAGTGAAGATATAACTACCCCTGTTCCACAAATGGAGAAACTAAGGCACAGCAGTTATGCTCTTTCCCCAGAGACAATGTGCAGGGCAGGACTGAGGTATTTGTACATGCCCATTGGCTGGATTCAACTGAACACTGCCCTGGCTCCCACTGGAGGGCCTTTGCTTCCAGGCAGTGCTGCTGCTTACTGCAGTGCTTCCAATCCCTCTGCGAGACTTCTCTTGGTCCCAGGGGAAGCAGCCCATTCTCTCCCACCTTTCTGAACTCCCAACAATTCTACTGTGCTCAGCTTTCCTTCTGTCCCAGAGTGGTTGGTTCATCCGAGCCCACCTTCCCTTCCTGGAAGGGTCTGATGGGAAGGACGGTGCCACCATCTTTGCACACCTGAGGACAATGCCTGGACAATGGAGTGGACTTGAGAAGGCCAGAGGGGTCCCACCACATAGTTCGGCCTTCCAGCCTGACAGGGACTCTTGACGGGTTTGCCATTGAGAAGGGCTGATGGATCTTAAAGCTTAGAGGGGTTCTCTCAACTTTGTAATTTACCTGAATTGAAGAGCTGCCATCCATGACGCAGTCTGAGGTTAATTTTAAAAAATTCAAAGACAGAGTTTATACCATCTTTGAAGAATCGTACTCACTTTTGCTTGTCCTGAATTGTCCTTTAAACTTTAATGTGAAGGGAAATGGTGGGGACGGAAAAGGAACTTTGGTGTTAGAAGATCTGACTCCTCTATCTGCGGAATGACTTTGAGCAAGTCGCTCAACAGCTTTGGACCCAGTTTCCTTCCTTGGAATGTGGGTACGATAAAAGCGACTTCACGGGATGATGGGGAGGAAGGTTTGGTAAGGCGCTCCACTTGCTCAGCACCATGCACCTTTCAAGTCCCTGGGAGCCCCATTTGGTCCTTGCATGATTTTAAAGACTTGCTCATGGTCCCTTAGGTTGGTCTTTGCAGTATGAGGGGTCTCAGCTGCCTTGATCGGAAGGAGGTTGTCCCTTGATCCTGCTCCTTCTGAGCTCTGAGTCAGGCACACTGGCCTGAATCCAGCCATGTAGTCTTGAGCAAGTTAATAAATTTTTCTGAGTCTCAGTTTTCTCATCTGTAAAATGGGGAGAATATGATTTACTTCACAGGGTGGTTGGTGAGATAGAATGATGACACGTATGCTGTGCCTGGCTTGGTGCTTGAAATACAGAGTTTAGTAAGTGAAAATTAGTGCCCTCTGCCCCAGTTACCCTACAGGCATGGGGAGCAGAACTCCACACATGCACAAGGAGGGTCTGCACTGTGGTTCCATACAGGGGCACGGTTGAGCGCTCCCGTTTGTTCTAGAGGCCCCAGTGGTAATCAGCCTGGGTGGGCCGGTGTGGCTGCTGCAGCCAATGTCCTGGCACAGGTCTCAGTGGCTCCTCGATCTCTTTCCCGTGAACTCTGAGCTCAGGATCCTATAAATAGGCCTTTAATAGTGCTGAGTGTCTTCTCTGCATCTCTGACTTTGTAGTTGCATAACTTGAAGTTCCTTTACCACTTTCCTGCCCACTCACAGAACTCCTTGAGTGCTTCCTGAAGTTGTTCCTTGCTGAGATTTCATTTGCCAGGAGAGGCTGTGGGTTTGTGTTTTTTTTTTTTTTCTTTTTTTTTGAGACGGAGTTTCGCTCTTGTTACCCAGGCTGGAGTGCAATGGCGCGATCTCGGCTCACCGCAACCTCCGCCTCCTGGGTTCAGGTGATTCTCCTGCCTCAGCCTCCTGAGTAGCTGGGATTACAGGCACGCGCCACCATGCCCAGCTAATTTTTTGTATTTTTAGTAGAGACGGGGTTTCACCATGTTGACCTCGATATCTTGACCTTGTGATCCACCTGCCTCGGTCTCCCAAAGTGCTGGGATTACAGGCGTGAGCCACCGCGCCCGGCCCCGAGAGGCTGTGTTTTACCGTGCTCAGAGCACAGGCCATGGAATCCTGCAGTCTGGGTCTGAATCCTATTTGCTCACCGGCCTGAGGCTTTAGGCAAATTATTGAACCACCAAGAGCTTCAATTTCATGTGTGTGTGAAAAAGAGGGAGAGAGAGAAAGAGAGATGTAGTAATCTCCCTCCTAAAATCCCCCAGAAATGCACAGCATGTAGTACATTGCCTGGTACATGGTAAGAGTACAGTGACTGTGGGGTTTGTTTGTTTGTTTTGAGACAGAGTCTCGCTCTGTTGCTCAGGCTGGAGTGCAGTGGCAATCCTGGCTCACTGCAACCTCCGACTCCTGGGTTCAAGCGATTCTCCTGCCTCAGCCTCCCGACTAGCTGAGATTACAGGCGCCTGCCACCACTCCTGGCTGATCTTTCGTATTTTTAGTAGAGACGGGGTTTCACCATGTTGGCCAGGCTGGTTTCAAACTCCTGACCTTGTGATCTGCCTGCTTCGGCCTCCCAAAGCGCTGGGATTAGAGACACGAAGCACCATGCCCTGCTAGGAGTACAATGATTGTTAACTGTAATAATAAGAGTAATAATAGCTTACTCACTTAGTAAGGCATCTTTCTGGGTGCTGGGGATCTAGCAGTGAACCAGAGGCAAAGCTCTTTTGCCTATGGAGTGTATTCTATTATTTTTACTAATTATTAATATCAGTATTAAAATAGAACCTCAGTAGTTCATGACATTGTAGATACTCATACTCAAAAATTATTTATTGTTAATGGGGAAGGAGCTTTATAAAGAGCCTGTCATGTGTGTCATAGGAACTGAACAAAGAGCTATTTTTATGATTTCATGGGTCCCGGGGACTGGTTTCACAGGGGCCTCTGGAGTAAGTGCATCTGGGGAGAGTGATCAGGGCAGTTAGGGGACTGGAACTGAGGCCATGTGACCTATGTGAACTCTCTCTGAAGAGAGGGTGGAGGACACAGTTCAGAGAGGAAAGGACCAGTGGCAGCATGAATGCTTCAAGCGTGTGTGGCCGTCTGAGACAGGCACGAGACAGTTAGAGGAGGAATGGGGAAAGTTACAGAAAGTCTTTTCTCCTGGCAAAGGAAAGATCGTTTTCAGCAACTGTAGCTTCTAGAAACAGAAGTGTGAGCAGGATTGTGAAGGTTTCTGTGGCAGATGAGGGCCAGGGTCAGATGAGGGCTCTGAGCACCCCCGGGGGATTCGAGCGAGCCCCCCAGCGGTGCAGCAGAGGAGCAGGGAGGCAGGGCAGAAGTGTCAGTGGGGTTTGTGGGGGGGAACAGTCCTTTCAAACTTCGAAGCTCTCTTTTTCCCTGTGTGCCGTGTGGGGGTTCTGCATCTGATTTCAGTCAACTGGGGACCCCACTCGCCTAGAAGACCTCTAAGGTTCTTTCCTTAGGGTCTGTGATTCTGAAGAGCTCACTCTCAGTCTGAAATTTCCTTGCATCCTCCCACAGATAAGATTATATCTTGATCCACTTATAATATTCTCTCTTTAAATCAATTTTCTATCCTTAATGGTCTCCTGGGTTTTTTTCTCTGAGCAACATTGGGTATGAAATTTTAGTCTTCTTGAAAGTCTAAGTTAATTATAGCCACTGGGTTTCCCTTTGCCCTCGGCTGAATGACCCTTTCCAAGTCATGAACCTCTTTGAGCCTCAAGTTCCTTCTTCTGTCTCCCCCCGTCCCTTCCCCTTCCTTCCCCTCCTCCTCTTCTTGATACTGAGTCTCACTCTGTTGCCTGGGCTGGAGTACAGTGTTGTGATCTCCGCCTCCCAGGCTCAAGCAACTCTCGTGCCTCAGTCTCCTTAGTAGCTGGGATTACAGGCGTGAGCCACCAGGCTCAGCTAATGTTTGTATTTTTAGTAGAGATAGGGTTTCACCATGTTGGCCAGCTGGTCTCGAACTCCTGACCTCAGGTGATCTGCCCACCTCAGCCTCCCAAAGTGTTGGGATTACAGGCATGAGCCACTGTGCCCAGCTGAGCCTCAATTTCTTCATCTGTAGAATGAGGATTACAATGTCTCAGAGTTATATTAGACTGATGGGAGATTTTGGATGTGAAAGTGCTTCTCAAAACACAACATTGCATTTGGATAGAGATGCGTGCTGCCGCTGTAGCTCCAGTGACTCCGTGTCTGGATAGGCTCTCCCGGCAGCCTGGCAGGACCCTCCTCTCTGGGGACTGGAGGTGTGATTGTGGGTGACGTCAGGGTGGAGATGGGATGAAGGTGAGGCGGCTGACCTCAGCTCTGTAGCTGCCCTCTTCTTGTGGACATCAGTGGGTGAGTGAGTGTCAGGCTCTGCCTGGGATGTGGGAAAGCAGTTTTGCCTGCTCCAGTTCCATCTACGGAGTGCACAGAATTGAAGGTCTAGATTTTGCATATTCTCTGAATCTTCCATTCTATCTTGTCAGTACCTAGCACATAGTAGATGCTCAGGGAACACATGCTGAATGAATGAATGAATGAATGAATGCATATATACAGATTTAGAGGAAAAAACTGAGACAGCTTATTGGTTGCTCAATCGCACCAGCAGGCAAAGCCCAGCCAGACTGATGTGCAGGATATTTTGTGACAGGAGACATCACTGCCACGCCTGGACAGGTGCCCACTCCTGGACAGGTGCCCACTCCTGGACAGGGGCCATTGTGTCTCTCACCCTCTTCCTCAAGTGTTCCTTTCATCTGCTACCCTTTGAGAGTTTCTGGCTGCATGTGGATTACATGAGGAAGCCCGAGGGTGCTCTGGGGCAGGGGAGGACTGTTGGGGTTTTCCGTCTTGTTTACGTATTTCTCTGCTGCCTACGTGCTGGTTAGTCAGAGCAGCAAGCTGGGAGGTGGAGTTAGACATGTCTCAGGGGGATTCATTGGCTCTGCCCCGCTCTTCCCCTTCCCTATCACCAGGGTTTTCAGGCAGGCTCAGACCTGAGCCTCCCTCATGCCCAGCCCCCTCTGGGATTAAAAACACTTCGGTAACCCCTCAGATAGAATCTGGCATGTTTTCCAATTGGACTTGGGGTGAACCTTGTTTTCAGTGTCAGACAAATCAGAAATTGGCTATAGGGGATTCTGTCTTTCATCATTTATCTGTCATCTATCAATTCACTCATTCATTCATTCACGTTTACTAAGTGCCTACTCCATGCCATGGATGGCATTGCCTGGGCTAGGTTTGCAGCTAAAAACAGAAAAGACACAGACCCTGTCCTCAAGAAGCTCCCATTCTGGTGGCAGGCAACAGGTTTATAAAAAAATGTGGCTGATGAATGCACTTTAGGTTTAGAGGAGTTCACTGTCTTGGGGAATCCTTGCTTGGGAACTTGAAGCGTCTTATTGAGGCTGAGGTTTTTCACCTGAGCAGGAAGGAAGGCTGAGGGCAGAAGAGGCAGCTGGGAAGGCTGAGGCCATGGAGATTTTCAGTCCTGAGAGCGTTTGTTTACTGCTGTCCTGGGACGGTTCTGGGGCTTTAGGAAGCTTGTTGGCAGTTCCTGAGCCCTGTTTTTGGGCTATTTTCCTCATCTCTCCCCTTTCCCACTATCCCCTGAGCTGGTCTCTCCACATTCAGCTCCTCACATCTCTTGGGCTTTGGTGTGGGTCTGGGCTAGGGAGGTGGCTGCTGGGTTCTCAGCCACACTAAGGGAGGACTGAGAGGAGGAGAGAGACCTAGGGACTTGCAGGAGCCCTGATATTTAACGTTTCTCTAGGTCAGCACCCTGGCACAGAACTTCACTCCCAAGGTCAGGAGGGAAGCCCCCTGGGAGATGGACAGGGCCTGGGATGCAGCTTCCACCTCAGCAGGTGCTGCTCCCTTGGCCTGGAGTGCCAGCGCCTTTGCTCCAGCGACAGCACGAGACCCTCTTGTCCCTACACCCTCAATCTTTCTTGCTGTTCACATGCAGTTCCCTGTGTCTGGAGCTCCTTCCTGCTTTCTCTGCCTGTAGAGAACCTGCCCATCTTTCAAAGTCCAATGCAAATAGTTTCTCTTCCAGGACAATTTCCTGACGGCCCTAGAGAGAATCTATTGCCTTTTCAGCTCCAGGGCTGCCTTGAAATCACTGGTGGTATCATACTTCTCACATTCTGTTTCCAGCACCTACAGGGTGGAACCTAGGTATTGTGTCCCCACAACCCCCAGCCCCATTTAGAGGCTGGCTAATGACAGGGGCTGATTAAATGGTGGCTGCCTGGAGCTTCTTTGGATGGCGGGGGTGTCACAGTGACATCAGACCCTGTCACCCGGGTGGCGGGGGATCCAGGAGAACAGGCAAACAAGTGGCCCCTCCTTGCCTGTCTTCCCCTTTAGGGCCTTCCCACTGTCCGGCTCAGTTTACCACCTCAGAGCCTAGGATGGCTCCACTGGGGCCAAGTGGGCTCCTGGACTCTGTGTCCCAGTCAGAAATGGACTCTGCAGGGCTCCCAGCACCCTTCTGCCCATAGGCTGGCTGCTGACTGCCACATTTCTGAGCCCAGCCAAGCCCAGCCAAGCCCCTTCAGTCTGTACCAAGCTGGCACAGAAAAGAGGAGGCGGAGGGAGGTTGACCTCAGGTGTTAACGCCTGGTGGCTCAGGCTGCATTTGGGTCTCTGGAACAGTAATGAGTCAAGGCCAGGATAGTCAGTTCCAGGGTCCCTGATTTCCCTCCAGGCCTCAGCTACAGAGTAGATAGCATGAGACACATTTCCTTCAGGGACAAGGCTTGCGGACCTCTGCCTCGGCCTGAGTCCTACCCCAGCTCTTCTTGGCCATACGTGGCGTCATGGGTTCCAGGGAGAGCCATCCTTAAGATGCATCAGCTGGAAGGACTCTGACTGTGGGCGGGGATGGTGGGGGCAGGGGGGTGCTGTGGGGATGGAAGGAGGCAGGGAACTGAAGGGAAGGGAAAGCTGAGCCTGGCTGTGGTAGATCCCATCCTCCCCTCAGGGCTGGGACCTTTGGCTGTCCTGGCCTGATGATGGGGAAATGACAGAGTTATTAAGCAAAGGCGTAACAGCTAGCTCCTGGGCTAGAAGCTTCCTTGACCGCACCCTGGAGACTGGCTATGCTGCTGCCTTGCCTTTGGGACCCCAGGCCTGACCTGACCCCTCCACCACTGCGCCCACCTGCCCTCCCCCACTCCTCCAGCAATGCCTAGCTCCTTCCCTGGGGGCAAAGGGTCCGTGTTGGGTGTGCTACCCAGCTGTCATTTCCTGGCGTGGACTCTTTTAGTCCTAAGTCCTTACATTTGTACGGAGCTTCATGGTTTCCAGAACCTATTCACATGTATTAGCCATGTAATCTCTCTGCTAGCCCTGTGCATGTGCGTGGGGGTGTTGTGGGTCATATCAGTTTTGTGGACAGGGGAGAAGGTGAGTCTCAGGAAGATGAATGCCTCAAGACAGCACAACTACTCAGGGAGCTGGCCTCAGCCTTGTGATTCTATAGTTAGTGACCTGTCCTAGAACTGATTCCCTTCTCTGTTGCTCCCCCAAGAGGCACCCCAGGTTTCCTTAGTGCCACCCAGAAGCAGCTCACAGCTAGGGAGGCTTCACAGCTGCTCTCCTTGCCTGGGAGCCCCAGGGGATGCAGCGTCTCTGCACACAGGCCAAGCTTTGGGGCGCTTCCTTGGATGGGAAAGCGGAAGCTTGTGCTTTGATCCTGGCTCAAAGGGAAGCCCCTTCCCCTTTTTGATCATGAGCTACAACAGCACTAGGAATTGTTCTTGCCGGAAGTTTTAGAAGAGTGTCATGGAAAGTGCTCATGTTGGGAATGGGAGACATTCACTTGAGGGGCCTCTGCAGGTCACATATGTTCCCCTTGGACAATGGCATCTCCTTCCCTCTCTTCCTTTCCCTTTCACTTTGGTGGCTGGGCAATTGCTGCCTCTTGGCAAAGGATTGGAGAATGAGGACCCCCTGCGTTCCTCCTCAGACCCAGCTATTATCTCTTCCCCTCCATGGTTCTCTGTTGTCCTTCTTGAAAGATGGGGTTGATTCTCTTTGCCCCAAGACAGTGAAGACACTCAGGTATTCAGAGGAGAAGGAGGAGAGAGGCTGAGGGCATGAAAAGAGACCAAGCGAAAGATCTACACAAATACCCTAGATTGTTTGAAGGCATCTCTGCACTGTTTTCTTTTTCTTTTTGAGAAAGAGTTTTGCTCTTGTTGCCCAGGCTGGAGTGCAGTGCAATGGCACGATCTTGGCTCACTGCAACCTCAGGCTCCTGGGTTCAAGTGATTCTCCTGCCTCAGCCTCCCGAGTAGCTGGGATTACAGGTGCCTGCCACCACGCTCAGCCAATTCGTTGTATTTTTAGTAGAGATGAAGTTTTGCCATATTGGCCAGGCTGTTCTCGAACTCCTGACCTCTGGTGATCCACCCACCTTGGCCTCCCAAAGTGCTGGTATTACAGGTGTGAGCCACTGCACCTAGCCTGCACTGTTTTCTTTAAAAAGAAAAGGAATCAGTTTCCCCACGGAGTGGTAGAGAGCCACCGTGGCATCAAAACAGTCCCCTGCCTTGGAAAAATAGTACCAACCTCTAATCAACAGACCTGAGACACTGGGCAAAAGAACACGCAGGGTTCAGGAAAGAAGAATCAGGAAGAACAGCCCTGGCTGTGTGCTCGGCTTCCTTGGTGGGCTGGTCCAAGGGCTGTGGCCATGGAGGGAGAGAGGATGGCAGGTGGGTATGAGACATGTATAGGGCTGGGGTGTGGAGGGGGGAATTTGGGTGTCACCTAGAAGATGTCACAGAATTCTCAGTTGATGACCTCTTAGGCTGCTTAAAAAGCCCTTTATGGGGAGACCCGCCCTCCCCATGTCTTGGGAGCAGAGGGCCCCCACACTCACCATGCTGGCTCTGTGGTCATCCAGGTCGTCTCCCTGTAGCCTGGAGCTGCGATCGTCACCCCAAGGCAGCAGGAGGGCCTCCCCACACAAGTCCTGGCTGGCCAGAAGGTCAGAAGACCCTGGTCAGCACTGGCTGGAGGAGGCCCGAGTGCTGGGCGGACCTTGGTCCTTCAAGGTCAGCATCCTCGTTGTCTGCCTAGCAAACTGCTGCCTCTCGCTGCTGTATTCCAGGAGTGACTGGGGGACTGTCTGTAACTCAGTTAAAACAGTCAGGTGAAGTTGCCAAACTGGAATGATTATGTGTCTTGTAACCTGACACCCGTCTTAGGGGCTGGGACAACACCTGAAGTCATTCATGGGCCCTTTGGCCTCAGAACAGGTGACACACCTAAGATGTCACAAAAGCCTTCCCGCCTGAATGACTTCCACCCAACGGGTGTTGGCTGAGGGTGATGCCAGAAGTTTCTGCTCCCCTCCCCCTCCCTTCTAGGTACATGACTTCTCACTGTGTGGGTGCTTCGGTTTGGGGTTGTGGAAAGTTGGAGTAGTCTCGGGGTTGGACGACAGAATTTGCAGCTCAGTACAAAGGGATCATTGCCAGGTGTGGAGGAATACGACTGGAAAGTCCACAGAGAAGGAGGAGGTTTCTTCTCTTAGGGGGATAAGATATGCTCCCTTTCCCTGGATCCCAGAAGGGAAGCTGTCCTGCACACAGCCAGCATGCTAGAGCTTCCTCTCCCTGCCTTACCAGCTGTTAAATATTTTGAAAATAACTATTGGTGCTATGGCTAGAGCCCAGGGCTCCTCATCCATGGGGTTCTTTTCTTTTCTCCTTCCTTCCTTCCTTCCTTCCTTCCTTCCTTCCTTCCTTCCTTCCTTCCTTCCTTCCTTCCTTCCTTCCTTCCTTCCTTCTTCCCTCCCTCCCTCTCTAAGGAAGACTCCAGCAGCAGGGCAGTGAGAAGCCAGTGGGCCACTGGGAGCCACGTTTTCAGTTGTCTTGGTTCCTCTATGTGCCAGGCTAAACATCTGGCCCACAGGTTTGCATTGCTTCACCTCGTGCTCGGGTGATGAACCAGGAAAGAGGCAGCTGTCTGGGCTTGAAGGCTGCTGGCCATGGCTGGTTGGAGGGATGATGACTCAGCCCTCCTGGCTTCTGCTCCCCATTGGGTCTGGAATTTTGTGGAGAGAGTTGGGAAGAAGGCACATGAGCAGGGCTGGGCAGGGTGGCTGTGGCGCCTGTGGGTGGTGGTTTACAGGGGGAGGTACAGTGGCCTGGAGAGACCAGAGGCCCACTTCTCCCAGGTGCCAGCGAAAACCACCCTGACCAGAGCTTCCTTTTTTTTTTTTTTCTGGACAGGGTCCCACTCTGTTGTCCAGGCTGGAGTGCAGTGGTACAACCTCAACTTACTGCAACCTCTACCTCCTGAGCTCAAGGGATCCCCCAGCCTCAGCCCCCCAGTAGCTGGGATTACAGGTACAAGCCACCATGTCCAGCTAATTTTTGTATTTTTTGTAGAAACAGGGTTTCACCATGTTGGCCAGGCTGGTCTCGAACTCCTGAGCTCAAGTGATCCACTCACTTCAGTTTCCCAAAGTTCTGGGATTACAGATGCGAGCCACTGTGCTGGCCCGGAATCCCATTCTCCCAGAGGAAGCCTCAGCTCCCCCTCGGCCCCGTCCTGCCTGCCTCTTTCTCTTCCCCACTCATCTCTTTAGATTCTCCTCCTGTTTTTCCTCTTCTTTCCTTCCCATTACTATTCTTTTATCTCTTCCTCTTTTTTTTTGACAATTTTTTCTCTTCCTTCTTCCCTTTCCTTGTCTGTTTCCAGCATGTGTGTCAATATCAGAGGGAGAGTTATGAAACTAACCAAGGTGAATCTTCAGAGCCTGTCACTTGCACGGCTCCTTCCAGGGCCCTGGGAAGGGGCCCGGTAATGAATTCACACGATCACATGTTTCTGTAAATTTTGCCGAAGATTTCCTTCATATGCTTTGTCTTCAAGAGAGCCCCTCAAGAGGTGACCTATCCCTGTAAGTGAAGACCAGAGCCTTCCTCACCCAGGCTGGTCCCACACAGGTGATCTCAGTTTTAGGACCAAGAGCCGTGCTGGATTCTTAGATCGTTAGCTTTTCCTCCAGGGGACCGCAGCAGGTGGAGCTCAGAGCTGTGGCTCTGCTAACAGTAACTTGTGTTCTGGGTCTTGCCCCACTGAGAGCTTCATGCACACCAGATTCTGAGAGGTGTCAGCAGCACTTGAGAAAACTTTTTTTTCTGTGAGGTTTTTGGACTGTGAACTGAGCTCAGGCACTTTCTGTAGGAGAATATCATTTCTGTCGTAGATGGTTATGTAACCCTCCTCCACCCCATGGCACGGCTGCTGAGGGCTTACCCAGAGGCCAAGGGAGCTCGCTTGTGTCCACAGGGGAGGTCCAAGACCTGTTGCCCCAGCCCTCCTGCCTTGTACAGCACAGAGGCAGTCACCCCAGGGACAGCGGGTGCCAGACACCCAGCTGCTCCTCTCGCCCTTCCTGGAATGGGAGGCTGCCTTCTGTCCTTGCAACTACTTTCCTTGTGGACCTGCCCAAACACTCAGACTTGTTTGAAGCTGCCCTGGTAGCTTCTTTTTTTTTTTTTTTTTGTCTTAGATGGGGTTTCTCCATTTTGGTCAGGCTGGTCTCGAACTCCCCACCTTAGGTGATCCACCTGCCTCGGCCTCCCACAGTGCTGGGATTACAAGCATGAGCCACTGCACCCGGCCCAATCTGGATGTATTTTAAACCACATTAAATAAAGAGTCTGTTGCTTTTCAAAGAAAAAAAAACAAAAACAAAAACCAAGCCCCTCAAAATATATTAAGCGTCAGGGCTCTCAAAATCTGGATCCTCCTTGGTCAAGAGCATGAGCTCTAGTGGCCTGGGGTCCTGGCTCCTAGCATCAGCCACTAATGATTTGTGTAACCACGGGCCTTTTAATCCTCCTGCACTCCACCTTCCCCAGCTGTAAATAATAGTACTGACCTCATAGGGTTGTTATGAAGATGAAGAGATAATCCTGGCTGGGCGAGGTGGCTCATGCCTGTCATCCAGCACTTTAGGAGGCCGAAGCAGGTGGATCACTTGTGGTCAGGAGTTTGAGACCAGCTTGGCCAACATGGTGAAATCCCCTCTTTACTAAAAATACCAAAAAATTAGCTGGGCGTAGGGGTGCGTGCCTGTAATCCCAGCTACTCAAAGAGGCTGAGGCAGGAGAATTGCTTGAACTTGGGAGGTGGAGGTTGCAGTGAGCTGAGATGGTGCCACTGCACTCCAGCCTGGGTGACACAGAAAGACTCCGTCTCAAAAAAAAAAAAAAAAAAAGAAATAATCCATGTGAAATGTCTGGTGCCTGAGAGAGACATTATAAATGGCGCTGTTATCCCAATTCATTTCACAAATGTGTGTTTAAGGGCTAAACCCACTTCTGTGTTAGGCACTGGGATTAGGAGATAAAACACAGGCCCTGAATACACACACCCCACAGTCTTCTGAAGGAGACAGGAGACATCCATCCATACATCAGCGTAAGCTTAAAAAGATGTTCTTGTAGAGATGAAAGGAGAACACTTGGGGGTTTGGAAAACCTTTTTCATTTCTCTCACCTCCCTCCCTCCTTCCCTTCTTTCCTGCCCGATTTCCTTCTTTCTTCCTGCCTTCATTTTCCTCTTAGATATTTTTACTTAGCTACAGTAATTTGTAGGATGGTATATCAATTGACAGTTGTTTCTTTCTTTCTTTTTCTTTTTTTGAAGACAGAGTCTAGCTCTGTTGCCCAGGCTGGAGTGCAGTGGCGTGATCTTGGCTCACTGCAAGCTCTGCCTCCCAGGTTGGAGCAATTCTCCTGCCTCAGCCTCCCCGGCTTATTTTTGTATTTTTATAGAGACAGGGTTTTACCATGTTGGCCAGGCTAGTCTTGAACTCCTGACCTCAGGTGATCTGCCCATCTTGGCCTCCCAAAGTGCTGGGATTACAGGTGTGAGCCATGGCGCCCTGCCGCCAGTTGTTTCTAATTGTGCACTTGATCTCAGTAACCGCAGTCACCCACTCATCCCTCTATATGTTTCTGGCCATCCATCCAGCCAGCCAGTCAGCCACCCAGCCGGCAAGTATTGTCTATGATGGTATCAGACAATGTGGTTAGACACTGTGGGTGGGAAAATCAACTATCTCCTGCCTTCAAGAGCTCAGTCTCCCACATACTGCACTTCTCTCTTTTTTTTTTTTTTTTTTTTGAGACGGAGTTTCACTCTTGTTACCCAGGCTGGAGTGCAATGGCGCGATCTCGGCTCACGGCAACCTCCGCCTCCTGGGTTCAGACAATTCTCCTGCCTCAGCCTCCCGAGTAGCCGGGATTATAGGCACGTGCCACCATGCCCAGCTAATTTTTTGTATTTTAGTAGAGACGGGGTTTCACCATGTTGACCAGGTTGGTCTCGATCTCTCGACCTCGTGATCCACCCGCCTCGGCCTCCCAAAGTGCTGGGATTACAGGCGTGAGCCACCGCGCCCGGCCTCGCACTTCCCTCTTAAAGCAGGAGCTTCTGAGGGCAGCAAGCCCTGTGGATCCTTCCTGTTCAAGGTGTGTGTGCCCATGGACCCAGCAGTGCCGCAGATGCCGAGAGCTCGTGAGAACTGCAGAATCTCAGCACACCCTGCTCTTATTCAATCAGAATCTGCATTTCAAGATCCCCAGGTGATTTGAATTCACCTTAAAGTTTGAACAATGCTGTTCTAGGTCTCTTCCCACGCTCAGGAGTGGGTAGAGGCTGTTATTTCTGAAGTGAGCTGAATTCAGAGACTGGAGCTTGACATAGATGAACCCCCGAGGTTCCTTCCAGCCAGCAGAGCCTATGGTTCTTCCCTTTGAACCCAAGTAAATTGAGATCAGTTTCAGTGCCTGGCTCATTTGTTCACACCTCTTCAAGAAATTAGGTAGAGAAAGGTGCAGTGGGTGGGCATGAGCTGGCAACAGCCCAGGCTCGCTCACACCAAGCAGCGTCTCTTCCACAGAGGCCAACACGGGGCACCTTGGCTCACTGTGTGGGGATGCAAGCAGGCTCCCTGTTGATTCGCTAGCTTTCTAGAAAGGATTTTTACTGCTTAGCAATCCTTCTCCTAAGAGAAGGATTTAGGCTCAGAGGTCAAATTGAGCCTCAAACATCTGTACCAAATAATTGAGGAGATTGAGAATCCCAAACCTGGATCCCGACCCTGAGCCCTAGTTGCCTCTGTTTGGTGGGAGCTGACCTTCCTCTGGCCCCTGC